GATATCCGCTGGAGGATATCCGCTCGAGGATATCCGCTCGAGGATATCCGCTGGAGAATATCCGCTGCGAGGATATCCGCGGCGAGGATATCCGCTCGAGGATATCCGCTGCGAGGATATCCGCGGCGAGGATATCCGCTCGAGGATATCCGCTCGAAGATATCCCTGCGAGGATATCCACTCGAGGATATCTGCTCGGGGATATCCGCTGCGAGGATATCCGTTCGAGGATATCCGCTCAGCGGATATCCGCTGGAGGATATCCGCTGCGAGGATATCCGCTCCAGGATATCCGCTGGAGGATATCCGCTGCGAGGATATCCGCGGCGAGGATATCCGCTCCGAGGATATCCGCTGGAGGATATCCGCTGCGAGGATATCCGCTGGAGGATATCCGCTGTGAGGATATCCGCTCGAGGATATCCGCTGGAGGATATCCGCGCGAGGATATCCGCTTCGAGGATATCCGCTGCGAGGATATCCGCTGCGAGGATATCCGTAGGAGGATATCCGCTGCGAGGATATCCGCTGGAGGAAATACGCTAAAGGATATCCGCTCGAGGATATTCGCTTCGAGGATATCCGCTGGAGGATATCCGCTCGAGGATATCCGCTCGAGGATATCCGCTCGGGGATATCCGCTCGAGGATATCCGCTCGAGGATATCCGCTGCGAGGATATCTGCTGGAGGATATCCGCTACGAGGATAGCCGCTGGAGGATATCGGCTGGAGGATATCCGCTCGAGGATATCCGCGCGAGGATATCCGCTTCGAGGATATCCGCTGGAGGATATCCGCTCGAGGATATCCGCTCGAGGATATATGCTGCGAGGATATCCGCTGCGAGGAAATACGCTGGAGGATATCCGCTGCGAGGATATCCGCTGGAGGATATCCGCTGGAGGATATCCGCTCGAGAATATCCGCTCGAGGATATCCGCTGGAGGATATCCGCTTCGAGGATATCCGCTGGAGGATATCCGCTGCGAGGATATCCGCAGGAGGATATCCGCTGCGAGGATATCCGCTGGAGGAAATACGCTAAAGGATATCCGCTCGAGGATATTCGCTTCGAGGATATCCGCTGGAGGATATCCGCTCGAGGATATCCGCTCGAGGATATCCGCTCGGGGATATCCGCTCGAGGATATCCGCTCGAGGATATCCGCTGCGAGGATATCTGCTGCGAGGATATCCGCTGCGAGGATAGCCGCTGGAGGATATCCGCTGGAGGATATCCGCTCGAGGATATCCGCTCGATGATATCCGCTCGAGGATATATGCTGCGAGGATATCCGCTGCGAGGAAATACGCTGGAGGATATCCGCTGCGAGGATATCCGCTGGAGGATATCCGCTGGAGGATATCCGCTCGAGGATATCCGCTCGAGGATATCCGCTCGAGGATATCCGCTTCGAGGATATCCGTTCGAGGATATCCGCTGCGAGGATATCCGCTCGAGGATATCCGCTCGAGGATATCCGCTCGAGGATATCCGCTCGAGGATATCCGCTGGAGGATATCTGCTGCGAGGATATCCGCTGGAGGATACCCGCTGCGAGGATATCCCCTGGAGGATATCCGCTGCGAGGATATCCGCTGCGAGGATATCCGCTGGAGGATATCCGCGCGAGGATATCCGCTCGAGGATATCCGCTCGAGGATATCCGCTTCGAGGATATCCGCTGGAGGATATCCGCTGCGAGGATATCCGCTGGAGGATATCCGCTGCGAGGATATCCGCTGGAGGATATCCGCTCGAGGATATCCGCTCGAGGATATCTGCTGGAGGATAACCGCTGCGAGGATATCCGCTGGAGGATATCCGCGGCGAGGATATCCACTCGAGGATATCAACTCGAGGATATCCGCTCGAGGAAATCTGCTGCGAGGATATCCGCTCGAGGATATCTGCTCGAGGATATCCGCTGCGAGGATATCCGCTCGATGATATCCGCTCAGCAGATATCCGCGCGAGGATATCTGCTGCGAGGATATCCGCTCGAGGATATTCGCTCGAGGATATCCCTGCGAGGATATCCGCTCGAGGATATCCGCTCAGTGGATATTTGCTGGAGGATATCCGCTGCGATGATATCCGCTCGAGGATATCCGCTGGAGGATATCCGCTGCGAGGATATCCGCGGCGAGGATATCCGCTCGAGGATATCCGCTGCGAGGATATCCGCTGGAGGATATCCGCTGCGAGGATATCCGCTGCGAGGATATCCGCTCGAGGATATCCGCTGGAGGATATCCGCTCGAGGATATCCGCTCGAGAATATCCGCTGGAGGATATCCGCTGCGAGGATATCCGCTCGAGGATATCTGCTGGATGATATCCGCTGCGAGGATATCCGCGCGAGGATATCCGCTGCGAAGATATCCGCTCGAGGATATCCGCTCGAGAATATCCGCTGGAGGATATCCGCTGCGAGGATATCCGCTCGAGGATATCTGCTGGATGATATCCGCTGCGAGGATATCCGCGCGAGGATATCCGCGCGAGGATATCCGCTGCGATGATATCCGCTCGAGGATATCCGCTGCGAGGATATCCACTGGAGGATATCCGCTGCGAAGATATCCGCTGGAGGATATCCGCTGCGAGGATACCCGCTGTAGGATATCCGCTGGAGGATATCCTCTCGAGGATATCCGCTCGGGGATATCCGTTGGAGGATATTCGTGCGATGATATCCGCTTCGAGGATATCCGCTGGAGGATATCCGATTGAGGATATAGGCTGGAGTATATCCGCTACAAAGATATCCGCTGCGAGGATATCCGCTGGAGGATATCCGCTGCGAGGATATCCGCTGGAGGATATCCGCTCGAGGATATCCGCTGCGAGGATATCCGCTGCGATGGTATTCGCTGCGAGGATATCCGCTGCGAGGATATCCGCTGGAGGATATCCGCTGCGAGGATATCCGCTGCGAGGATATCCGCTCGAGGATATCCGCTCGAGGATATATGCTGCGAGGATATCCGCTGCGAGGAAATACGCTGGAGGATATCCGCTGTGAGGATATCCGCTGTAGGATATCCGCTGGAGGATATCCGCTCGAGGATATCCGCTGGAGGATATCCGCTCGAGGATATCCGCTGCGAGGATATCCGCTCGAGGATATCCGCTGCGAGGATATCCGCTCGAGGATATCCGCTGCGAGGATATCCGCTAGAGGATATCCGCTCGAGGATATCCGCTGCGAGGATATCCGCTGGAGGATATCCGCTGCGAGGATATCCGCTGCGAGGATATCCGCTGGAGGATATCCGCGCGAGGATATCCGCTTCGAGGATATCCGCTGCGAGGATATCCGCTGCGACGATATCCGCTGGAGGATATCCGCTGCGAGGATATCCGCTGGAGGATATCCGCTGGAGGATATCCGCTGCGAAGATATCCGCTGCGAGGATATCCGCTGGAGGATATCCGCTGCGAGGATATCCGCTGTAGGATATCAGCTGGAGGATATCCGCTGCGAAGATATCTGCTCGAGGATATCCGCTGGAGGATATCCGCTGCGAGGATATCCGCTGCGAGGATATCCGCTGGAGGATATCCGCTCGATGATATCCGCTCGAGGATATCCGCTGGAGGATATCCGCTCGAGGATATCCGCTGGAGGATATTCGCTGCGAGCATATCCGCTGCGAGGATATCCGCTGGAGGATATCCGCTGCGATGATATCCGCTGGAGGATATCCGCGCGAGGATATCCGCTGCGAGGATATCCGCTGCGAGGATATCCGCTGCGAGGATATCCGCTGCGAGGATATCCGCTGGAGGATATCCGCTGGAGGATATCCGCTGCGAGGATATCCGCTGGAGGATATCCGCGCGAGGATATCCGCTTCGAGGATATCAGTTGCGAGGATATCCGCGAGAGGATATCTGCTGTGAGGATATGCGCTACAAGGATATCCGCTCGAGGATATCCGCTCGAGGATATCCTCGCGAGAATGTCCGCGCGAGGATATCCGCTCGAGGATATCCGCGCAAGGATATCCGCCGCGAGAGGATATCCATTTTTTTGTGCGGATATCCAAAATTTGAATTCATGTCGCGGATATCCCAGTTTTGGATATCCCACCCTATTCCAGGGCCTATCACTTGGAACACTGGGTTACCATCATTTGGAGCAATTGAGAAAACCCCACAGCGGTGCCCTAGGGAGGGACAATGTACCTCCTCCACCTACAGTATTACAGGGCCAATCACGCGGATAACGTTGGGTTACCTATCATTTGCGGCAATCTTGTTTCGCGAAGTGCTTGCACTTGGACAGAACCTGGCTATAGTTTTCCGCTTCCCCGCGCACATCACTTCCGCTTGCTTCCACCCCGACATTCCCGCACGTTGAGTAAGTTATGCAGAGCACAGCACAGGATCGACCAACCAGTAGAGTCACTCGCGAGCAGCTAACTTAGCTGGTGGGGTCGTATAGTGGCGATCACGTGCAGGTGCACGTCGTAGCGCGTCGATGCGAAGGGTGTTGCCGATCCGCCGTCTCTGTGGAAGGGACATCATAGTCTCGTTATCGCAAATCTGGCCGGCAAAGTTATTAGCTATCGTCGCAGGGGTGCCTGCGACTTCGTCAGCTGAACGAATATGTCGCTTGCCTTCGCAATAGTAGCATCTGACCTTTCCGCGTCGCCGGCGAAGCCAGCGCAGTCGCACATTCCGCACGCGACATCGTTTGCGACAGTCGCCAGTGCAACAAGCGGTGCTGCGTCCATCGACGAGCAATACCTAGAGGTAGCGCGCCAGTGCAGGTGCATGCGGTGTGGGTTCATGCGCAGGAGATCGATGTTGCCTCAAAGCTTCGTTTGAAGTCAAAATCTCTGTAGTGTATTATATCGTGTATTCCGCGTAGAAGCTCGCTCCCGCATCTCATGCTTCCTAGAGTTACCTTATGATTGTCGTAGTCGTTCGTTATCATTTTTCTCTTTTTCGTCTCTTCACTCACATGCCCGCTGTCGCTCCATTCAGTCGCAAGCTCGCCGCTGGCTGTCGCAGACTTTATCTCGAACTCTTCCCGCCGATAAGCTGTTAAGCGATCTGCTAGGAGATGGCGAAATACTGTGAGTTCTCGATGCTCTAGTTATCGATGCCTCTGACTCCGATGCCTCTGCTCCTTGATACCTCTTATCGTCGATTCCGTCTCCATTCCGTCTCTTCTCCCTTTACTCATTCCGTCGACGTTCCGTCTCCTCTCTCCCCTTACTCGTTCCATCTTCATTCCGTCTCCTCTCTTCCGTACTCATTCCGCCTTTCCCCTCTCCCTTCTCCCCCTCTCTCCCCCCACTCCTCTCACCCACCGTTTTCCTCCCGCCTACTGATCGCGCCGTACGCTCCTCCCTCCGAGTTCGAAACGTCTCATAACTTTCCGCTCCCTCCCCCCCCATACAGCCTCGAGCTCGCCTGTTTGGTGCAGCAGCTGCAAGCGCCCGACGTGCCCCCCTCCGCGTTCTGAGACATCCCATTCCCCTCTCCCCGTCTCGTCTCCCCTCTTTCCCCCTTTCCGCTCCCTCCCCCCCATACAGCCTCGAGCTCGCCTGTTTGATGCAGCAGCTGCTTGCGCCCGACGTGCCCCCCTCCGCCAGCGTCCCCCTGACGGCGGACTTTGACTCCTCCCCGCCTGCAACTCCCCCCGCGCCTGCTCCCGCAGCTGCCACTGCTGATAGCGGTGGTGGTTCCGCTGCCGCTGCTGCTGCTGATGGTGCTGGGAGTAGTGCTGCTGCTAACGGTGTAATTGGTGGTAGTGCTGGGGTTAGTGCTGGTGGTGCAGCGGCTGGTGGTGACGTCAGCAGCAGCAGTGCAAACGGCAGCTGTTCCAGCGAGGACAGCAGCGGGCGGGTCGGGCTTTAAGCGCGCGTACTGGCACGCATGCACCAACGTGGAACGCTTTCTTAAGGTGAGAGAGCCGCTGGTGTGGGCGTTCGCCAAGGCGTTCAGAAGATGCCAGGGCGTTCAGAAGATGCGAGGGCGTAGCCGTCACTCCTGGTGTGGCTGTGCTGGGTAGAGTTATGAGGCGCGCTCAACCATAAGGTCGCGTACCTTACTCATGCGTGCGAAGAGATGCCAAAGCCAAATCGTATCCAGGCGACTCCTTTCCTCCATGTCCCTCCCTTTCCCCTCTCCTCTCTCCCACACCACCCCGTCTCCCCAGGTGTGTCGGCGGGTGGGTCTGAGGGATGTATCGCTCTTCACCTCACCAGACCTCGTGGATGGCAGGGACGTTCGGCGCGTTGTGCCTGCGCATGCTGTCCAAACAACTCGTGGGCATTCGGGACCTCGACGGCATTATGGTGACCGCCTCTTCTGCTGCTCGCCAGAGACTCATCTCCTCCTCTTCTTTCACCTCCTCCTTCTCAACCAACCCTTGTGCTCAGCCGTCATCTCTCGCCCCTTCTTTGGCTGAATTGACACATGCAGCATCCATAACCCTTCCCTCCACCACCCCTGCTGCTGTTTCTGCTGCCGCTGCTGTAGCTGCTGCTGCCGGTGCTGGCAACATGAGTGGACCATGCACAGAAGGGTTCCACCAGAAGGGATGGCAGGAGCAGCACTGGAAGGCCCTTGTGGTTCCACCACTGCGTCTCTCATCAAGCCCAAGCAGAAGCAGCAGCAGCAGCAGAAGCATCAACAGCAGCAACAGCAGAAGCAGTTTACTCAAGCAACTGCCACCGAGTCGTTGGATTCAGAGCCGCCAGACGCAGAGGCGCTGTCAACCACCAACAGAGAAGTAGGTGTTTCTTCAGGTAGGGAGAGCAGCGCGCAGGGGAACAGTGCCACAGGTGCTGCAGAAGCAGCAGGTTTAGCAGGTTTAGCTTCGCATGCACATGCAGGTGATGCCCAGAATGCACCTGCATGCATGGTTTGGACTGAAGGAGGAGGAGAGGCGGAGCATGGCGGGTGCTGCACCTGCCGGCCTGCCGTCGCTCCGCGTGCATGGGAGGGCCGTGGGGGGATGCGTGGGAGGAGCTATGCAGCCTGCTGCAGCAGCAGCGCCAGCAGCAGCGCCAGCCGCAGCACCTACAGAGCGTGCAGCTGTAGCAGGTGTGGCAGTGGGTGGTAGTGCAAGGGTGCAATCGCGTGATTGGAGAGGCGAGAGGGCGGATGCGTGGCCTGAGAGCCACGAGCAGCGGCATGTGTTCCATCGTCAGAGCCAGCACGCAAATGAATGCGACCGTGTGCGTGGGGCACGTCGACCGCTGTACAAACACTGCATTTAAGAGAAAGGGGGGCTTTTTAGTACGACACGGCATGAGGTAAAGCACATTTGCTTCTTCAAAGAACTCCTCATCGGCCTCACCCAACCCCAGCTGCCCGTTTGTTGGAAGTGGCGACGGCGAGGGCGCGGCAGGCAGGAAGTGAGGTCTTGGTCCAAGTGACGACTTGGACTTGGTCCAAGTGATGAGCACTTGGTTCAAGTGACGACTTGCGGGCTCGCGGGCTTGGAAAGATCCAAGCTCTTGACCTTATCCCACTAAGCTACGGGTGCCTTTTAATAAAAAACGATGTCCCCAGTTATCTGTTCTATGTTCCAACATAAATAGCTTCAGTGTAAAGAGATAATCACCATCATAAAAACAATAGTACGTATACACAAACGCATGCAAGCCCTACACTTGGTCTGGACTCTAGAGTTTAGGCAGTGCTCTGTGTGTGCGATTGTGCTCAATGGTAGGAAGCAGCCCGTTTTTTAGCACAGCGGCGTGGGCGGCACGGAACCCAACGCCGTACACTGGGGAGGCATCAGTGGCAATGGAGTGCAGGCAGAGCAGCCCTGTGCCTTCATCCTCTGCCGAGCAGTCAACCTATGCTCTGGGCAGTGTTCTGTATGCGCGAATGTGCTCGATACGGTACCGTCATCGCCCGGATAGAAGACATATATGTCTTATCTTATACATTAGAAAAAACGCTTGCTGTGTCTTGTAATTGGGACGGTTTAGGGTGTCTTATAATTCTTATAAATGGAAAAAAAAAAACCATTTAGAAGATACCCCCTCGTCATAAGATTGCCCCTAACCCCTATACTGGCTTAACTCGTACACACCGACAGTTGTCTTATAATCAGGAACACCCATCTATAAGATACACCCGTTTTAACGACACCCCCTGTCTTCAATTCGACACTGTCTTATATCCGGGCGATGACGGTAGTAGGCAGCAGCCCGTGCTTGAGCACAGCAGCATGGGCGGCACGGAATCCATCGCCGTACACGGGGGAGGCGTCAGTGGCAATGGAGTGCAGGCAGAACGCTGCAAAGCGCTGCTGGAAGCTGCTGTGCGCCTCGTGAGCCAGTGGAGCAGCGGAGGAGGCTTGTTGTGACGGGGCGTGTGGGGACGGGGCTTGTGATGGGGCTTGTGGGGCGTGTGGGGCTGGAGGGGCTTGGGTTTGCAGCCATAGGTACGCCATGACCTGGCACATGCCCTCCTCTAGCTCTGGGGGCAAATGGCGGAAACCCCCTGCAGGTGTGGAAAGACAGGGGAGAGAGGAGAAACAGGAAGGTTCAGTTTGAAGCGACTCAAGAGTCAATGGTACGCCATGACCTGGCACATGCCCTCCTCTAGCTCTGCAGACAGATGGCGGAAACCCCCTGCAGGTGTGGAAAGACAGGGGAGAGAGGAGAAACAGGAACAATGGCTTTAGAGGCGACTCAGGAGTCAACGGTATGCCACGACCTGGCACACGCCCTCCTTTAGCTCAAGGGGGGGACGGCGGAAGCACTATGCAGGCGTGGAAAGGCAGGGGAGGTGGGGGACAAAGACACGCGTTCTGAAGCTAGCTCAGTGGGGAGGTGGAAAGCACCCCCCAGGTGAAAAGGGCTGTTGAGGTGGGAATGATGGGGTGCTGTGCGGTGTGATGGAAGGGGAAGAGGGGAGCCAGCTGACCGACGCATGCCAACAGAAAAAGACAGAAGAAGTCTGTTACATGCCGAACAACGCAACAGAGGGGGCGAGCAACGCAGCTGAGGGTGCGAGCATCTTAGCTGAGTGTGTGTTTGGTGCTGCTTTAGCTAGCATTGATGCGTCTATGTGGTTACATTCTCACATGGTCCAAAGACTGACCAGAGTAGAGGGAACCATAGTGGCTCTTGCGTACTGTACATGGCTTCTCCTGTGTGTGCATGGTGTGGTGCCCTCTCTAGTGTTGACGGTTCTAAAGCAACACGACAAAACCCGTTGATGCATTTAGGTATGTGTGCAGCTTTGTATGGTTTTGTAATGCTTTGTAGAGTTCAGCTTAACAAACATCGACAACAATGTACGTCTTTGCGAGGTACTTCCGTAAAGTAGTGGTTAGCAGTGGTCGGAACATGTGTAACTTCTACTCATAATTACATTGCCTTGTTGAGTTTCCAGTGAGCCCGGCTTTTCAATATGGGTTGCCTTACTGGTGTACCTACCGGTACTACTCACAAAGACCCTTCACCAACGTTACGGTAGCACTTTTTAGCAGTACTTGTAGCAGTCACAACCCACGGGCCATGCACCAGGCCTAGCACTTCCCAAGTCCCAAAAGCAGCAGCAGCATCCAGTAAGCCCCTTTGATCACCGCCTTCACAATCATCTCGACATCTCAATAAGACACAGGCCCTGCAGCAGCACTAATGCTTCTTGAGCCCCAGCAGCAGCAGCAGCAGCGTCCAGTACGCCCCTTTGATCACCGCCTTCACAATCATCTCGACATCTCAATAAGACACAGGCCCTGCAGCAGCACTAATGCTTCTTGAGCCCCAGCAGCAGCAGCAGCAGCGTCCAGTACGCCCCTTTGATCACCGCCTTCACAATCATCTCGACATCTCAATAAGACACAGGCCCTGCAGCAGCACTAATGCTTCTTGAGCCCCAGCAGCAGCAGCAGCAGCGTCCAGTACGCCCCTTTGATCACCGCCTTCACAATCATCTCGACATCTCAATAAGACACAGGCCCTGCAGCAGCACTAATGCTTCTTGAGCCCCAGCAGCAGCAGCAGCAGCGTCCAGTACGCCCCTTTGATCACCGCCTTCACAATCATCTCGACATCTCAATAAGACACAGGCCCTGCAGCAGCACTAATGCTTCTTGAGCCCCAGCAGCAGCAGCAGCAGCGTCCAGTACGCCCCTTTGATCACCGCCTTCACAATCATCTCCCCGCGCCGTGTGCTGGGAGGGAAGCGCGCTGCCAGGTCTTTAGAGAGCGGTCTGGTGTAGGCGGCCTTGCAGTGGCTGAAGCAGTCGATGGACCAGCGCCCCTTGTACCGCCCCATGCCGCTGTCTCCCACTCCTCCAAATGGCAACTCCAGATTGCCCGCCTGAGATGGGTGATGGGGAGACGTGGGAAGAGGTAGGGGAGAGGTGGATGGGAGGGGGGGGGCAGAAGGGGGGGAGGGGGGAGGAGATGGTAGTAAGGGAAGCGCGCTGCCAGGTCCCCTGAGAGGGGTCTGGTGTAGGCGGCCTTGCAGTGGCTGAAGCAGTCGATGGACCAGCGCCCCTTGTACCGCCCCATGCCGCTGTCTCCCACACCACCAAACGGCAACTCGAGATTGCCCGCCTGGAAGGGGTGTGGGGAGAGGGGGGGAAGGAGGGGGGTGGGTGGTAATTAGACAAGTGGGCTTCAGTCACGGGCAAGTCCAGTGAGTGGCGCCCCTTGTACCGCCCCATGCCACCGTCTCCCACACCGCCAAATGGCAGCTCCATGTTGCCCGCCTGGGAGAGGGAAGAGGGTGTGGTGGGGGGAGGAGTGGGTGGTAATGAAGAGGAGTGGGCTTCATGGGAAGGTCGATGGAGTAGCGCCCCTTGTACCGCCCCGTGCCACTGTCTCCCACACCGCCAAATGGCAGCTCCAGGTTGCCCGCCTGGGAGAGGGAAGAGGGTGTGGTGGGGGGAGGAGTGGGTGGTAATGAAGAGGAGTGGGCTTCATGGGAAGGTCGATGGAGTAGCGCCCCTTGTACCGCCCCGTGCCACTGTCTCCCACTCCCCCGAACGGTAGCTCTAGGTTGCCCGCCTGCCCCAGAGTGGAAAGAAGGGAGAGATATGGGACAGACAAAGGGAGAGATTGGGGAGGGAAAAAGGGATGGGAGGTGGTGTGAGAAGGGGGTGACACCCCCAGCGGGTATTGACGCTCTAACATTCCCTGCCCCGCCTGCACCTTCCTCAGATACCCCAGGTGTCTTCACTTACACTCTCGTTTTGAGGACAGACTAACCACCCTCTTTCTTCTCCCTGCCCCCTCCTTGCTCCCCCTTCCACTCCCCCCAACCCCTCTCCCCTTCCCTTTCCACACCTGCAGGATGAGCTCGTTGGCCACCACAGCCCCCGAGCTGCTCCCCTTGACAAACCGCTGCCGCACGTCCTCTCAAGGCGTGAAGGCCATCACCACCCTCTTGCCTCTCCCTGTCTCTCCCTCTCCACGGCTCCCCCTGACCTCCTCTCTCTGTCCTCCTCCCTCCTCCTTCCCTTCCCCCCCCTCACCCCCACCTGCAGGATGAGCTCGTTGGCCACGACAGCCCCCGAGCTGCTCTCCTTGAGGAACTGCTTCTGTACGTGAACACACTCGCTAACCTCATGCCTTATTTCTCCCGCTTCACTCGTGAACCCTCTTGCCTCTCCTCCCCCCCACACCTGCAGGATGAGTTCGTTGGCCACCACAGCACCCGAGCTGATCTCCTTGACAAACCGCTGCCGCGTGTCCTTCCGGGACGTGAAGACCATCACCACCATCTCGACTCTCCCTCTCCCCTCGCCCTCCCTCCTATTCCCCAACTTCATCCCCCCTATCCACACCTGCAGAATGAGCTCATTGGCCACGACAGCACCCGAGCTGGTCTCCTTGAGGAAGCGCTGCCGCGTGTCCTCTCGGGACGAGAACACCATCACCACGAGAGGCTTTGGGCGCGCGTTGATGATGTCAATCGCCTCGTCGATTCCCGACACCTGATGGGGGGGAGAGAGAGAGGGCCAGTGGTGCAGTATGGGCGGACAGTACACAGGTATCAGTGGGGCCTCAGGGGCGTGGTGAGAGCGGAATAGAGGCCTGAGGCACGGTGTACAGAAGCAAGCTTGTGGTGGGCGGTGGGGAGAAGGGCAACGAGGAAGGCAAGGAGACTAGACGGCTAGGATGAGGGGTCTTACAGTTTGGATGGCCAGGATGGGTCCAAAGACCTCGGACTGCATGATGGGGGCATCCCAGGGCACGTTGAGCAGCAGCGTTGGTGCAAAGTACCTGGGGGAGAGGGGGGGCGGGGGGGGGGGGGGAGAGGGATGGTTGGGAAGGTGGAAGAGTTTTCTTTCTGTCGAATCAAATGTCGCATCCCAGGTCACGTTGACTAGCAGCGTTGGCGCTAAGTACCTGGGGGGTTGGTGGCGGGCGGGAAACGCGGGAAGGTTACGTGGGTGGGGAGAAGGGTGGGGTAGGGTGGGTGGGGTGAGCAGAGTGGAGGAGGAGAGGGGTGATGGGGTGGGGGTAACGGAATGGTTGTGATGGGAAAGCATAATAGGAAGGTGGTTTTGTTGCTTCTTTCTTTGTTTGTTTGTTTGTTTGTCTTTTTTTTCATTTTTGTTTCTGTTTTTGTTTTTGTTTTCCTCTTGTTTTCCTCACAGTTAGTGGCAGGAGTGAGGGGAAGCTGGGAAACCGCATTGAGCTGCGTTGAATTGCATTGACCTGCTTCGAGTCACCTAGACTCACCGTGACTCAACATCGCTCTGCCCCCCGTGCACGACACAGGAGGCGGTCGCAGGGTGCTCAAGCAACTTCTGCAGGCGGTGCACGTGGGAGGCGTTGATGACGCGTGCGAGGTCGGGGCAGAGAGCGGGGTTGGTGCCGTAGAACTGCTCGATTGCTGCCTTGAGATGGGGCAGCTGTGGGGGGGAGAGGGGGGGGGGGGGACAGAGCACAGGGTCAGAGAGAGAAGAGCATGGTCGGGGCAGAGAGCGGGGTTGGTGCCGTAGAACTGCTCGATTGCTGCCTTGAGATGGGGCAGCTGTGGGAGGGAAGGGAGGAGAAAGGGGGCAGAGAGACAGCAGGTGGTGCAAGATGGTGAGAGAGCACACAGCGGGGTTGGTGCCGTAGAACTGCTCGTTTGCTGCCTTGCGATGGGGCAGCTGCAGATGTGACAGAGAGGGCAGGCAGAGAGAGAAAGCAGAGTCAGGGAGAGGAGAGAGGTGTGGGCAGAGAGGTGGGTTGCAGCCCAGCAGCACACCTGCCCTCCCCTCGCCCTGCCGCTTCTGCCCCTCTCACCAGTCTAGAAGCCACATCTTTGGTGGCCTGGCCAGGACACCTGCTTCCCCCCTTCTTTCCCCCTTCCCTTGCCCCAACACCAACCACTTTTCTCCCTATCCCTGCACCTTCTGCCTCTATTTCTGCCACGTCCTTGGTGGCGAGGATATAGTCGGGCACGAGGCACACCTGCCCTCCCCTTGTGCTCCTCTTTCCTTCCCCTTATCCCTGCCCATTCTTCCCCCACACGCACCAGTCTAGCAGCCACGTCCTTGGTGGCGAGGATATAATCAGGCACCAGGCACACCTGCCCCGCGTTGATAATCCCTTCCCTTGCCCCCATACCTGCGCCTTCTCCCCAAACCCTGGCATTTTTGCCCCTTCTCCCCCTCTCACCAGCCTAGCAGCCACGTCCTTGGGGGCGAGGATATAGTCGGGCACCAGGCACACCTGCCCCGCGTTCGTGCACTTGCCCGATACGATCCGCTTCGCTGAGATCTGGGGGGGTGCGACGGGGTTGAGAGCGGTGTCGAGGGGCATGGGCCACGAGGGTGGGGTATGGGGTATGGGGTATGGGGCATTGGAGAAGGGATGGGAGGCAAAGGAAAAGGGGTGTGTCATGGGATGGGCCATGTGTGACGGGACATGCACATTGCACTCGACACAGCAGCACACACCTCCAGGTAAGCAGCACACACCTCCAGGTCAGCAGCACACACCTCCAGGTCAGCAGCACACACCTCCAGGTCATCAGCACACACCTCCAGGTCAGCAGACTCGTCGATGAACAGTGGATTCTTGCCGCCCAGCTCCAGAGTGACAGGTGTCAGATGCTTACTGGCCGCCTCCATCACTATGCGTCCTAACGCAGTGCCGCCCGTAAAGAAGATCTTATCCCACCGCCGCCCAAGCAGCGCCTTGCCGGTTTCTGGTCCGCCTTCCACCACCTGATGATTGTGCGGCAGGGACAGGGGGCAGGGGAGGGGGAGGCGGAGGGGGAAGGGGGGAGGGAGGGGGGAGGGGGAGGGGGAGGGAGGGGGAGGGGGAGGAGCAGGGGGAGGGAGAGGGCAGGAGGAAGGGGAGGGGGAGAACACAGGAGTAAGCTTTAAGACGGCCCCAACCCTTGCCTGTCGCTGGGTCGCCTTCCTTCCACCACCTGATGATTGTGCAGCAGGGGAAGGGCAGAAGGGGGAAAGAGGAACAAGGGAAGAAGGAAGGACAGAAGGGAGGAAGAGGAACAAGGACCTACACCTGCAACACCAGCCGCCACACCAGCACCTGCAACAGTTGGCACTTGTGACTGAACATTATACTGCCTGTCGCTGTACCAGATAGCACCTGCCTGAGATAGCACCTGCCTGAGATAGCACCTGCCTACGATAGCACCTGCCTGGGATAGCACCTGCCTGCACGGCCTGTGAGTCGAGGTAGAGGGGGAGGAGGCGCGAGAGCAGGTGCGAGGAGGCGGGGGAGTGCTCTGAAGGCTTGAGCACCACCACATTGCCCGCTGCTAGCGCTCCTACTAGCGGCTCCAGAGACAGCACTGGGTGGGATGAAAACACAAGATGGAGTGGATATGAGAGATGAAAACATGAAAGCTCTGACGGCTTGAGCACCACCGCGGTTCCCGCTGCCAGCGCTCCTACCAGTGGCTCCAGAGACAGCACTGTGGGAATGGGGGGGGGGTTGAGCAGAAGAGTGCTCTGAGCGCTTGAGCACCACCACGTTGCCCGCTGCCAGCTCTCCTACCAGTGGCTCCAGAGACAGCACTGTGGGAATGGGGGGGGGGTTGAGCAGAAGAGTGCTCTGAGCGCTTGAGCACCACCACGTTGCCCGCTGCCAGCTCTCCTACCAGTGGCTCCAGAGACAGCACTGTGGGAATGGGGGGGGGGTTGAGCAGAAGAGTGCTCTGAGCGCTTGAGCACCACCACGTTGCCCGCTGCCAGCTCTCCTACCAGTGGCTCCAGAGACAGCACTGTGGGAATGGGGGGGGGGTTGAGCAGAAGAGTGCTCTGAGCGCTTGAGCACCACCACGTTGCCCGCTGCCAGCTCTCCTACCAGTGGCTCCAGAGACAGCACTGTGGGAATGGGGGGGGGTTGAGCAGAAGAGTGCTCTGAGGGCTTGAGCACCACTGCGTTGCCCGCTGCTAGCGCTCCTATTAGCGGCTCCAGACTCAGCACTGGGGGACGTGCACAGGAGGGTAATGGGGAGGGAAACGCCCACGTTTGGGTGAATGGTAGAGATGAGAGTATGAGGCGAGTGAGGACTTGAGCACCACTGCGGTGCCCGCTGCTAGTGCCCCTACTAGCGGCTCCAAACTCAGCACTGAACAGATGGGGGTGCGTGGGTAAGGGGAAGGGGATGGGCACACAAGGGTGGATAGGAGAGATGAGAACACGAGAGCTCTGAGGGCTTGAGCACCACTGCGTTGCCCGCTGCTAGTGCCCCTACTAGCGGCTCCAGTGACAGCACTGGGGGGATGGACGTGTGGCAAGGAAATGGGCACACAAGGGTGAATAGTAGCGATGAGAACATAAGAGCTCTGAGGGCTCGAGCACCACTGCGTTCCGGCTGCTCGCGCTCCCACTAGAGACTGCAGAAACTGCAGTGGGGGATGCGCATGGGGGGAAAAGGAGAAGGAAACGGCCGTGTTTGGGTGGATGGTAGAAATAAGCAGACGAGGCGAGTTAGGGCTTCAGCACCCCCGCGTTGCCTGCTGCCAGGACCCCCACCCCACTAATGATGAGTCCTGGCACAGCACTGGGTGAGGGGGGAGGGAGGGGCATGTGCATGCTGCAGGTGCTGTGAAGGCACATAGCACAGTAACCAGCCCGTACAGAACGGAAAGTAAGAAAGCCAATTTGGATATACAGGAAAGGTAAGAAAAACGAGGAGGGTCGTTGGGAAAGGGACGTACGGAAGGGGAAGTTCCAGGGCGCGATGATGAGCAGCATGGGCAGTGGAACAGCAGTGAGATATCATGACCTTTACGTTTGGTGCCCGGTCCAGGGAAGTTGTAAGGAGAGGTGAAGGACAGGGGACGTACGGAAGGGGAAGTTCCAGGGCGCGATGATGAGCAGCATGGGCAGTGGAACAGCAGTGAGATATCATGACCTTTACGTTTGGTGCCCGGTCCAGGGAAGTTGTAAGGAGAGGTGAAGGACAGGGGACGTACGGAAGGGGAAGTTCCAGGGCGCGATGATGAGCACCACGCCCAGCGGCTCGTACACCACCTCTGAGTGGCCCGGCCTCAACGTCAGGGGCGTGCCCACCTGGTGCGGAGGGGGAGAAGAGGAGAGCCTTTTGAGAAGGGAGTGTTGGATTCGAACTTTGAGGCGCCTGAAACCACGCCCAGTGGCTCGCACAGCACCTCTGAGTGGCCCGGCCTCAACGTCAGGGGCGTGCCCACCTGGTGTGGTGTGTGGGTTCGGGGGGTGGAGGGGAAGAGGCTATTGAGGCAACTTGTTGAGGCGCCTCAAAACACGCCCAGCGGCTCATACAGCACCTCCGAGTGGCCTGGCCTCAACGACACTGGCGTGCCCACCTGGTGGAGAGAGGGGGGGAAAAGACTTTATATGCGACTTTGGAGGCGACTTTTTAGGCGACCTACATATGTACCACCCATCAGTTCCACCCCATCAGTTTCCCCCATCAGTTCCACCCCATCAGTTTCACCCATCAGTTCCACCCCATCAGTTTCCCCCATCAGTTCCACCCCATCAGTTTCACCCATCAGTTTCACCCATCAGTTCCACCCCATCAGTTTCACCCATCAGTTCCACCCCATCAGTTTCACCCATCAGTTCCACCCCATCAGTTTCACCCATCAGTTCCACCCCATCAGTTTCACCCATCAGTTTCACCCATCAATTTCACCCATCAGTTTCACCCATCAGTTTCACCCATCAGTTCTACCCATCAGTTTCACCCATCAGTTTCACCCATCAGTTTCACCCATCAGTTTCACCCATCAGTTTCACTCATCAGTTTCACCCATCAGTTTCACCCATTAGTTTCCCCCATCAGTTTCACCCATCAGTTTCACCCATCAGTTGCACCCCATCAGTTTCACCCATTTCAGTTTCACCCATCAGTTTCACCCATCAGTTTCACCCATCAGTTCTACCGATCAGTTTCACCCATCAGTTTCACCCATCAGTTTCACCCATCAGTTTCACCCATCAGTTTCACCCATCAGTTTCACCCATCAGTTTCACCCATCAGTTTCACCCATCAGTTTCACCCATCAGTTTCACCCATCAGTTTCACCCATCAGTTTCACCCATCAGTTTCACCCATCAGTTTCACCCATCAGTTTCACCTATCAGTTCCACCCATCAGTTTCACCCATCAGTTTCACCCATCAGTTTCACCCATCAGTTTCACCCACCAGTTTCACCCATCAGTTTCACCCATCAGTTTCACCCATCAGTTTCCCCCATCAGTCACCAATCGGTTTCCCCCATCAGTTTCCCCCATCAGTTTCCCCCATCAGTTTCACCAATCAGTTCTACCCATCAGTTTCACCCATCAGTTTCACCCATCAGTTTCACCCATCAGTTTCACCCATCAGTTTCACCCATCAGTTCTACCCATCAGTTTCACCCATCAGTTTCACTCATCAGTTTCACCCATCAATTTCACCCATCAGTTTCACCCATCAGTTTCACCCATCAGTTTCACCCATCAGTTCTACCCATCAGTTTCACCCATCTGTTTCCCCCATCAGTTTCCCCCATCAGTTTCCCACATCAGTTTCACCCATAATTTCTACCCATCAGTTTCACCCATCAGTTTCACCCATCAGTTTCACCCATCAGTTTCACCCATCAATTTCACCCATCAGTTTCACCTATCAGTTTCACCCATCAGTTTCACCCATCAGTTCTACCCATCAGTATCACCCATCAGTTTCCCCCATCAGTTTCCCCCATCAGTTTCCCACATCAGTTTCACCCATCATTTCTACCCATCAGTTTCACCCATCAGTTTCACCCATCAGTTCCACCCATCAGTTCCCCCCATCAGTTCCCCATCAGTTTCACCCATCAGTTTCACCCATCAGTTTCACCCATCAGTTTCACCCATCAGCTCTACCCATCAGTTTCACCCATCAGTTTCACCCATCAGTTTCACCCATCAGTTTCACCCATCAGTTTCACCCATCAGTTTCACCTATCAGTTCCACCCATCAGTTTCACCCATCAGTTTCACCCATCAGTTTCACCCATCAGTTTCACCCACCAGTTTCACCCATCAGTTTCACCCATCAGTTTCACCCATCAGTTTCCCCCATCAGTCACCAATCAGTTTCCCCCATCAGTTTCCCCCATCAGTTTCCCCCATCAGTTTCCCCCATCAGTTTCACCAATCAGTTCTACCCATCAGTTTCACCCATCAGTTTCACCCATCAGTTTCACCCATCAGTTTCACCCATCAGTTTCACCCATCAGTTCTACCCATCAGTTTCACCCATCAGTTTAACCCATCAGTTTCACCCATCAGTTTCACCCATCAGTTTCACCCATCAGTTCTACCCATCAGTTTCACCCATCAGTTTCACCCATCAGTTTCACCCATCAATTTCACCCATCAGTTTCACCCATCAGTTTCACCCATCAGTTTCACCCATCAGTTCTACCCATCAGTTTCACCCATCAGTTTCCCCCATCAGTTTCCCCCATCAGTTTCCCACATCAGTTTCACCCATCAGTTCCACCCCATCAGTTTCCCCCATCAGTTCCACCCCATCAGTTTCACCCATCAGTTTCACCCATCAGTTCCACCCCATCAGTTTCACCCATCAGTTCCACCCCATCAGTTTCACCCATCAGTTCCACCCCATCAGTTTCACCCATCAGTTCCACCCCATCAGTTTCACCCATCAGTTTCACCCATCAATTTCACCCATCAGTTTCACCCATCAGTTTCACCCATCAGTTCTACCCATCAGTTTCACCCATCAGTTTCACCCATCAGTTTCACCCATCAGTTTCACCCATCAGTTTCACTCATCAGTTTCACCCATCAGTTTCACCCATTAGTTTCCCCCATCAGTTTCACCCATCAGTTTCACCCATCAGTTGCACCCCATCAGTTTCACCCATTTCAGTTTCACCCATCAGTTTCACCCATCAGTTTCACCCATCAGTTCTACCGATCAGTTTCACCCATCAGTTTCACCCATCAGTTTCACCCATCAGTTTCACCCATCAGTTTCACCCATCAGTTTCACCCATCAGTTTCACCCATCAGTTTCACCCATCAGTTTCACCCATCAGTTTCACCCATCAGTTTCACCCATCAGTTTCACCTATCAGTTCCACCCATCAGTTTCACCCATCAGTTTCACCCATCAGTTTCACCCATCAGTTTCACCCATCAGTTTCCCCCATCAGTTTCCCCCATCAGTCACCAATCGGTTTCCCCCATCAGTTTCCCCCATCAGTTTCCCCCATCAGTTTCCCCCATCAGTTTCACCAATCAGTTCTACCCATCAGTTTCACCCATCAGTTTCACCCATCAGTTTCACCCATCAGTTTCACCCATCAGTTTCACCCATCAGTTCTACCCATCAGTTTCACCCATCAGTTTAACCCATCAGTTTCACCCATCAGTTTCACCCATCAGTTTCACCCATCAGTTCTACCCATCAGTTTCACCCATCAGTTTCACTCATCAGTTTCACCCATCAATTTCACCCATCAGTTTCACCCATCAGTTTCACCCATCAGTTTCACCCATCAGTTCTACCCATCAGTTTCACCCATCAGTTTCCCCCATCAGTTTCCCCCATCAGTTTCCCACATCAGTTTCACCCATAATTTCTACCCATCAGTTTCACCCATCAGTTTCACCCATCAGTTTCACCCATCAGTTTCACCCATCAATTTCACCCATCAGTTTCACCTATCAGTTTCACCCATCAGTTTCACCCATCAGTTCTACCCATCAGTATCACCCATCAGTTTCCCCCATCAGTTTCCCCCATCAGTTTCCCACATCAGTTTCACCCATCATTTCTACCCATCAGTTTCACCCATCAGTTTCACCCATCAGTTCCACCCATCAGTTCCCCCCATCAGTTTCACCCATCAGTTTCACCCATCAGTTTCACCCATCAGCTCTACCCATCAGTTTCACCCATCAGTTTCACCCATCAGTTTCACCCATCAGTTTCACCCATCAGTTTCACCCATCAGTTTCACCCATCAGTTTCACCCATCAGTTTCACCCATCAGTTTCACCTATCAGTTCCACCCATCAGTTTCACCCATCAGTTTCACCCATCAGTTTCACCCATCAGTTTCACCCACCAGTTTCACCCATCAGTTTCACCCATCAGTTTCACCCATCAGTTTCCCCCATCAGTCACCAATCAGTTTCCCCCATCAGTCACCAATCAGTTTCCCCCATCAGTTTCCCCCATCAGTTTCCCCCATCAGTTTCCCCCATCAGTTTCACCAATCAGTTCTACCCATCAGTTTCACCCATCAGTTTCACCCATCAGTTTCACCCATCAGTTCTACCCATCAGTTTCACCCATCAGTTTAACCCATCAGTTTCACCCATCAGTTTCACCCATCAGTTTCACCCATCAGTTTCACCCATCAGTTTCACCCATCAGTTTCACCCATCAGTTCTACCCATCAGTTTCACCCATCAGTTTCACCCATCAGTTTCACCCATCAATTTCACCCATCAGTTTCACCCATCAGTTTCACCCATCAGTTTCACCCATCAGTTCTACCCATCAGTTTCACCCATCAGTTTCCCCCATCAGTTTCCCCCATCAGTTTCCCACATCAGTTTCACCCATAATTTCTACCCATAATTTTCACCCATCAGTTTCACCCATCAGTTTCACCCATCAGTTTCACCCATCAATTTCACCCATCAGTTTCACCCATCAGTTTCACCCATCAGTTTCACCCATCAGTTCTACCCATCAGTATCACCCATCAGTTTCCCCCATCAGTTTCCCCCATCAGTTTCCCACATCAGTTTCACCCATCATTTCTACCCATCAGTTTCACCCATCAGTTTCACCCATCAGTTCCACCCATCAGTTCCCCCCATCAGTTTCACCCATCAGTTTCACCCATCAGTTTCACCCATCAGCTCTACCCATCAGTTTCACCCATCAGTTTCACCCATCAGTTTCACCCATCAGTTTCACCCATCAGTTCCACCCATCAGTTCCACCCATCAGTTCCCCCCATCAGTTTCACCCATCAGTTTCACCCATCAGTTTCACCCATCAGTTTCACCCATCAGTTTCACCCATCAGTTTCACCCATCAGTTTCACCCATCAGTTTCACCCATCAGTTTCACCCATCAGTTTCACCCATCAGTTCCACCCATCAGTTTCACCCATCAGTTTCACCCATCAGTTTCACCCATCAGTTTCATCCACCAGTTTCACCCATTAGTTTCATCCATCAGTTTCACCCATCAGTTTCCCCCATCAGTCGCCCATCAGTTTCCTCCATCAGTTTCCCCCATCAGTTTCACCCATCAGTTTCACCATCAGTTTCCCCCATCAGTTTCATCCATCAGTTTCACCCATCAGTTTACCCCATCAGTCACCCATCAGTTTCCCCCATCAGTTTCCCCCATCCGTTTCCCCCGTCAGTTTCACCCATCAGTTTCACCCATCAGTTTCACCCATCAGTTTCACCCATCAGTTTCACCCATCAGTTTCACCCATCAGTTCCACCCATCAGTTTCACCCATCAGTTTCACCCATCAGTTTCACCCATCAGTTTCACCCATCAGTTTCACCCATCAGTTTCACGGTTCTCCCATCAGTTTCACCCATCAGTTTCACCCGTCAGTTTCACCCATCAGTTTCACCCATCAGTTTCACCCATCAGTTTCACCCATCAGTTTCACCCATCAGTTTCACCCATCAGTTTCACCCACCAGTTTCACCCATCAGTTTCACCCATCAGTTTCACCCATTAGATTCACCCATCAGTTTCACGGTTCTCCCATCAGTTTCACCCATCAGTTTCACCCATCAGTTTCACCCATCAGTTTCACCCATCAGTTTCACCCATCAGTTTCACCCATCAGTTTCACCCATCAGTTTCACCCATCAGTTTCACCCATCAGTTTCACCCATCAGTTTCACCCACCAGTTTCACCCATCAGTTTCACCCATCAGTTTCACCCATCAGTTGCACCCATCAGTTTCACCCATCAGTTTCACCCATCAGTTTCACCCATCAGTTTCACCCATCAGTTTCACCCACCAGTTTCACCCATCAGTTTCACCCATCAGTTTCACCCATCAGTTTCACCCATCAGTTTCACCCATCAGTTTCACCCATCAGTTTCACCCATCAGTTTCACCCATCAGTTGCACCCATCAGTTTCACCCATCAGTTTCACCCATCAGTTTCACCCATCAGTTTCACCCATCAGTTTCACCCATCAGTTTCACCCATCAGTTTCACCCATTAGTTTCACCCATCAGTTTCACGGTTCTCCCATCAGTTTCACCCATCAGTTTCACCCATCAGTTTCACCCATCAGTTTCACCCATCAGTTTCACCCATCAGTTTCACCCATCAGTTTCACCCATCAGTTTCACCTATCAGTTCCACCCATCAGTTCCACCCATCAGTTTCACCCATCAGTTTCACCCATCAGTTTCACCCACCAGTTTCACCCATTAGTTTCACCCATCAGTTTCACCAGTTTCCCCCATCAGTCACCCATCAGTTTCCTCCATCAGTTTCCCCCATCAGTTTCACCCATCAGTTTCACCCATCAGTTTCCCCCATCAGTTTCATCCATCAGTTTCACCCATCAGTTTACCCCATCAGTCACCCATCAGTTTCCCCCATCAGTTTCCCCCATCAGTTTCCCCCATCAGTTTCACCCATCAGTTTCACCCATCAGTTTCACCCATCAGTTTCACCCATCAGTTTCACCCATCAGTTTCACCCATCAGTTTCACCCATCAGTTTCACCCATCAGTTTCACCCATCAGTTTCACCCATCAGTTTCACCCATCAGTTGCACCCATCAGTTGCCCCCATCAGTTGCCCCCATCAGTTCCCCCCATCAGTTTCACCCATAAGTTTCACCCATCAGTTTCACCCATCAGTTTCACCCATCAGTTTCACCCATCAGTTTCACCCATCAGTTTCACCTATCAGTTCCACCCATCAGTTCCACCCATCAGTTTCACCCATCAGTTTCACCCATCAGTTTCACCCACCAGTTTCACCCATTAGTTTCACCCATCAGTTTCACCCATCAGTTTCCCCCATCAGTCACCCATCAGTTTCCTCCATCAGTTTCCCCCATCAGTTTCACCCATCAGTTTCACCCATCAGTTTCCCCCATCAGTTTCATCCATCAGTTTCACCCATCAGTTTACCCCATCAGTCACCCATCAGTTTCCCCCATCAGTTTCCCCCATCAGTTTCCCCCATCAGTTTCACCCATCAGTTTCACCCATCAGTTTCACCCATCAGTTTCACCCATCAGTTTCACCCATCAGTTTCACCCATCAGTTTCACCCATCAGTTTCACCCATCAGTTTCACCCATCAGTTTCACCCATCAGTTGCACCCATCAGTTGCCCCCATCAGTTGCCCCCATCAGTTCCCCCCATCAGTTTCACCCATAAGTTTCACCCATCAGTTTCCCCCATCAGTTTCCCCCATCAGTTTCACCCATTAGTTTCTCCCCTCAGTTCCACCCCTCAGTTCCTCCCCTCAGTTCCACCCGTCAGTTACACCCATCAATTGCCACGTCATGGTCAGATCCACCTGTCAACGCATGTGAGGCACATCAGCGGCCATTGCTCCCACTCCCACCAATGCCCTGAATTTCTCACCTGTGTCAGCTTCTGCGCCACCCAAGCCCCCTCCTCTCCCCGCGCACCCAGTCGCACCTTGTGTGGGAGTCCCATCCCACCCATCCCATCCCATCTCTTCCCTCCCATCCCAGGCGCCAGACTCAGCACCCAGACCCACTTGTTGAGTTCACCATGGGCCTCACCGCCTTCCTCATGCTCTCTCCCCATCTAATGCCGTCTCTTCCCACCCACCCACACGTAAGGGTGGGCATGTGCCTCGCCGCCTTCCCCACGCCCTCTCCCCACCCAATGCCCCCACCCCCCAAGCCCTTGCTCCCCGCCCACCCTTACCATCACCCAGGCGCACCTTTTGGGGTTGCACCCATTTCTTGAAGTGCTTCAGCATGTGGCTCGCTGCTTTCCACACGCCCTCTCCCCACCCAATGCCCCCTCCCTGCTGCTCACCCAAGCCCGCTCTTTCCCCGCCTTCCAAGCCCCCTCTCCCCCCACCCACCCAGGCGCACCTTTTGGGGTTGCACCCATTTCTTGAAGTGCTTCAGCATGTGACTCGCCGCTTTCCATACGCCCAGCACCTGCGGGGCGCAACGGGTTGGGGGTGAGTGGGGGCAGGAAGGAAGACGAGAAGCAACGTTCAATGCAATGCAGTGTCGCTGCAATGCAGCAGAGAAGCCCCTCCAAACATGTGGCCTGCACTGCACTGTGACAGTGTCTCATCAGCTTGTCGTTCGCCGCGCCCCACACGCCCAGCACCTGAAGTTGGATTGCATGTGGCAGAGCAAGGCAGGAAGCGAGGGACGACCCGCATGTCACTCACTGCCCCACGGGTCTCACTGCTAGATCCTTGCTCCCTTACTTTCACTCCCCCAATGCCACTCCCCCAATGCCAATCCCCCAATGCCATTCCCCCAATGCCACTCCCCCAAAGACACTCCCCCAATGCCACTCCCCCAATGCCACTCCCCGAATGCCACTCCCCCAATGCCACTCCCCCAATGCCACTCCCCCAATGCCACTCCCCCAATGCCACTCCTCCAATGTCCGTTTCTCAACGTCAGCCTTTCGTTGTTCGCCCTCTCAATGCCACCCTCACACCGTTTCCCAATCCCCCCAAAACAAATCTTACGAGAACCAGAAACACGAGTTCATGTGGAGGCACATGAATTCTTAAAAGAGCCCTCAATACCTCGATGAGCGCCTCCATGCGGCCGCACCCCAGATCACTCTTGAGCGCCGCCATGATGTCGCCCTCGTGCTCCTCCGCCATGCGCACCAGATGAGCACCACATGCGAATCACTCCCGCACTCTCCCTTATCAACGCCACTCACCCAATGGCACTTCCCCAATGTCAGTCTTTCACTGTCGGCCCCTCAAAACTAAACCACCCTTTCAATGTCAGCCTATAAGGCGTCTAAATTCCTGATCATATAGAGGCACCTGGACACGGCCGGTACCTCGATGAGGGCTTCCATGCGCCCGCGCCCAAGATCGGTCTTGAGCGCCGCCATGATGTCGTCCTCGTGCTCCTCCGCCATGCGCACCAGATTGCGCAGCTGCTGCTCGCGCCACGCCAAGTTCCGCGTCTCGCCCGACCGGAATTTCAGACGAAGCTTCGCCGCGAGTTCCTCCGCGGCGGCGTCGTCAAAGGTCTCGCCTTTCCTGCCGCCCTCCTCCACGCACGCCGCCGCGCTGCCGCCCTGGTACGGTCGATCCATGCTGGAAACGAGGCTGCTTTTATCGAGACAAGACGCGGTCGTGTTCAGACTGGGGAATGGGATGCGACGCGCGTGATTCGAACGCGATGCGACTCGTGGTCAGACGAGGCCAAAAGGGAATCGGGGACGACGAAGCGCAAACGAGTGCGAGTACGTAACAACGAGATTGATCGTAAAGGTTATCACTTGGCTGAAGGCGCGAAGCTAAAGGAAAGCAGGAACGAGTGACGAGCAAGATTGTCCCACCACCAGCAGCATTAGTGCGAGATACCGTCAGGCAAAATTTAGGTGTGTTGCGCTTCAGCGCAATGCTTGGGCAGGTGAGAAGGCGGAGGCCGACATTGATAGGTGGGTGCAGAGAGGCCTGAGGCGCTCACAAAACATATTATAAGAATGATGGAGAAAAATACACTTCCCAGTGATATATGGCGATGATATTGTTCGAATTGCGAGTCACCCCTGATAATGACACGTTAATTATACTATGGGTTGCTCATGCCATCCGTGCGCCTGTAATTCAGCGGATAGAGTGTTCGCTTCCTAAGCGGGAGGTCCAAGGTTCGACCCCTTGCTGGCGCGCTTTTTCTCCTATTGCTAAAAATCCTGGTGGAGGAGCTCGTGAGAACAATCACCCAATCACCGACAACTCTGATGGTGTTGAATTCGCTGGCGAGTTTCGCATACCATCCGATCGTCGCTCGTTGAGCGTCTGACACCCGTTCGCGACAGCTGTTGTGTTCTGCGTTTTCACCTGATTGGCTTTCATCAATTGCGAGTCGCTGATGATTGCGCCCCCCGTCCTTTGGCGAATCGCATTCTTCGAACCGCATTTGCTTGTTTCAGAATTTCCCATTCGACATCTTCCCAGTAACGTTTCGCAGAGCGTGCTTTGTGGCGCCCTCTCTCCCGCGCCCTCTTCTCCAATTCGCTTCAACGGATTAGCTACTCCTGCACACACCGCCATCCTCCCTCCTAGTTCAACCATATACGACCTGTGCTTGCCTTGAAAACCAAACTCCGCCTCCGTATGTGCTATGCTTTGGCGGCTAGGTTATGAGAACGATTTATGTCGGCCCAACAGGCGCCACGACCGTCCATCGTGGTGGTCTTTGTTCACCGTCCTAGGTTCTTGTTTAAACACATACTACCACTCTGGTGATAAGCGAGTACCGCACCTCAGTTCCGATATAAATTCCTTTGACCCTCACAGATTCGGTAAAACGGCTACTTGTTTTGCAACATTGTCCATTCATCTCACAGTACGTCCCGCTGCCGTCGCTTCCAAGTGCACTTCTCGCACGCTCGTGTGTTCTCTAGTAGCAAACTAGCACGTTTAGGCCGCAACCACATCCAGATCGCATCCAACACATTCAGACCGCAAGCAGCACACTCGTGCGTCACCCTCTCACTCTCGCAGCGCGCGCCACTCGCCGGCATGGCGAGGCTCACAGCCGTTCTCACTGCGTGCGTCCTCCTGTGCGCGTTCCACGCAGAGTTCGCCCACGCACAGGTACCACTTCCTCCCTCTCCGCCCACCTTCGCCCTCCGCGCCCTGTCTGCCCTTCGCCCTCCTGCTGCCCTCCCCCCTCCTTTCTTTCTTCCCCCCGACGTCTTTCTTCTCTTTAACCACCACCGGTCAAAGCTCTCATCTTGCTGTGTTCTTCTGTCATTACCGTTCTCCGTCGTCTCATCTCCTTCCTGTTCATGCATCCCCCATCCGTGGTCGCCCCCCCTCCTCCCACCGCTCGTCACCACCCGCCACACCTCTACCCCCCTTACCCGCCCCTCACCACGCTCAACCATCGCCCCTCGACTCACAACGCCTCTTCCACTCGCGCCCTCCTTCTCAACCCCCCCCCCCCCCCCCCCCCCCCCCCCCCCCTCCCCCTCTCTCCCCCCTACATCCGCGCAGCTGAAAACACAGGGGAAGCTATACGAGGTGGGGTCGGGGCTACTACGCTACTTCAGCCCGTGGAACCAGGACGTGGTGGGCTGGATTCCCCCCAGAAACATCAAGCCCGGCGATATCATTCGTAAGCCGCGCCCCACGGCGAATTGGGGTTACTGGGTTACGAATATGCGTTTTCCAATTTTACACTGCTCTTTGAATATGAGTTTTCCCGTTTGACCGCAATCGAGCCAGCCTTTGTGCTTTGCCAAAAGAAAGGCTCCCCGTTCGCACTTCGCCGCCCGTCCCTTTCCCTCTCTGATCCCCTGTTTCACCCATCCCCTCTCGCCCGTCCATCCCCGTTATGCAGTGTTCCGCTGGCTGGGCCGGCACGACGTGCGGCAGTTCCCCACGATCATCGGGTACAGCACGTGCAGCTTCTTCCTCTCCAAGACGCTATCGTCGGGCACCTATTTCGGATTCTACCGTTACATAGTGAAGCCCACGGACAAGGGCACCACTCTCTACTTCGGCAGCAGCATTGGTGATGACTGCCAGCGCGACATGAAGGTCGCCATCCCGATTCCCTAGGCGAAATGTGGGTTACCACGTGGTAACCCGCATCGCCTGTGCGGGGACGCGTGGGCGTGTGGCTAGGAGCAGAGGGATATTTAGGGGTTAGGGTAACTAGAAAGATAACCCGTTATTGTAGCGGTACACTTGTGTGTACCCAGGCAGTGGATTTTTATATTTTAACAGTCGCATGCATTCAAGTGAAATATCTTTACAGAGCCCTAGTACTCGCGGATCACTCATAGCAGCTTGCACCCAAGCAGCCTTTCTTGAGGATGGCACATTCTCCCACCACCATCGTCTCGCAACATCTCTGTGATGGGAACAAGGGGATGCGGACCATCTTCTTCTCGTACCTGAGTGGGGAGGGACCGGCGAGTGAGCGAGTGCTGCAAGGGTGGGTGGAAGACAGGAGATGCGAGATGGAACAAGTGGGGGCAGGATGCATGCCCTCTTGCCCTCTCTCACCGTATATTTCTGTGCCGTGTGTTCAGGCAAGGCAGGGATTCTAGTACGGTAATAAGCATTGCAGCTTTGTGTTGTGACTCCAGCCACTAGTGCATTCGTCCGTATGAGAGTAGCACACTCGAGCAACGTCTGGCTCCAGAGCGGGCGACTTTGCCATGGCAGGGAGTGTGCTGTGCAGCTGTCGACTGCTGCTGCTGCTGGGCACGAGTTCGGGGCCTTCTTGATCTGCCTGCTGAAGCTTGCCTCTCTGGTTACCGTAAGACTCTGGGCCCTGCAAGGAGCCGTGAGGGGGGCTGTGTAGTGGCAGCATTGACACACCCGGCTGTAAAATGCATGTTTTTTATTGAGCCGACAAAAAGATCGGAGCACACAACATGAGTGTCTTTCTTAGCCCATCCATCCTGTTTCTGCCTGCATGGCAGGGCGCCTGGCAGCAGCACTGCCACACTATGCAAAGCACATGCTTAATGCGTGTAAAGGGGGGGCAGGCAATGCCTTTGTGTGTGACATACGGTAAGGTAAAGTGTATATGCATATCAGCAACATAAAAAATACCAGTCATAGAATGTACTCGCATGCTTTGCAAGAAAACTCGCAACAGGCAGCACGAGGAGAGGTAGCCCCACCGGCTGGTCACTTCTGCTGCCTACACGGCAGGGTGCTTGGCAGCAGTGCAGCGCTGTGTGTGTCACACCGTGGAAGTTGGAACACAGAGAATGAGACGTGTTGGGGCGCCAGCAGGGCTTGCTGCACTTGCTGCCTACAGGGAAGGCCGCCTGGCAGCAGCACTGTCCAGCCATGCCACACACATGCCCAGCGCCTGCAGGGGAGTGACTGCTGTGGTATCCAGAGACAGCAGATACACCCCCCCTCCTGCTGCTGCTGCTGCTGCTGCTGCTGCTGCTGCTGCTGCTGCTGCTGCTTCTTCACCCTTTGCTGCTGCTGCACCTGCTGCTGCACCCGTTGCTGCACCCACTAGTGCTGCACCTGCTGCTGCACCCGTTGCTGCACCCACTAATGCTGCACCTGCTGCTGCTGCTGCACCCACTGCAGCCACACCTGCTGTAGCCGCTGCTGCTGCTTGGGCCAGCACTCCAGGCGCACTCACCCTCCTGCCCTGCCCTGCTCCCTCCCCCCCACCGCTCCCTTCACCTCGTCCTCCTCTCATCCTCACCAGCCGCACCACACATGCTTCTGCTCCCCCCTCCCCGCCCTCCACCCTCTCCCCCTCCCCTTTATCCCGCAGATGCACCTCCAACACAGCTCCACCACCAGAAGTACCAGCAGTACCAGCAACAGCAGCAGCACCAGCAATACCAGTCGCACGAGCAGCAGCAGGGACAGCAGCCGCGCCACCCACATGCGCCACCAGCTGCACATTCCGAACCTGCTCCGAGCCTTGGCCTGCCTGCCCCACGCTCCCTCCACTCCCCCCCCACTCCCCCTCTCCCCCCCTCTCCCCCCTGTCCCGCTGAGCGTCCCAGCCCTGCCAGCAGAGTGCATTCCATCACCCACCCGCTGCCGCTGCCGCTGCCGCTGCTGCTGCCGCTGCCGCTGCCACTGCCGCTGCCGCTGCAGCTGTCGCTGCCGCTGCTAGTGCTGGTGTTGGTGCCGCTGGTCCACAGGCGGGGCATGCCGTGGGGCACTGCAGCGGGTGCAGCAGCCGCAGGAGAGGCGATGAACCGAATCAGCGCCTCTGCCTTGCCTGCCAGCTGCACACTGCTGCTGCCACTGCCACTGCCACTGCCACTGCCACTGCCACTGCCACTGCCACTGCCACTGCCACTGCTCCCAGTGCTGCTTCTGCCAGCACTGGCGCTGTGGCTGCGGTTACCACTAGGGTTACCAGATGTTCCTGCTGCCGCCCCTCCTCCTGCTAGTGCAGCCACCACCAGAGGACCAGACTTGAATGCAACTGGTGCCGCTGCTGCTGCTGCTGCTGCTGCCACTTCTGGCAGCGCCAGTGGCCCTGAGAACGAGGCTGACGGTCGCATGTGAGGGGCGGCAGCATCCTGCACGCCCAGAACCACGGCTGGCACATGTGCGTGCGGATGGGTGTGTGCAAGCGCGAGGGCATGGGCATGGTGAGATGGATGGTCGGACTGCAGCGAGGGCATGGATGCAGACATTCTCAGCAGCGCACCACCATCACCACCGTCACCACCGTCACCAACGCCACCACTGGAGCATGCCGTGTCCTCCGTGGAGTCAACCGAGTCAATGGCGCCCCCTGAGCCACCTGAATCACCCGAGTCACCCGAGTCAACCGAGTCAACAGCATCAACAGCATCAGCAGAGTCATCGTGCTGCTCACAGCCCTGGACGACCCCCCCACTCCCCCCACTCTCCCTGCTGCAGCAGCTATCCTGGCTGGCAGCTGAGCCCTCCTCCTCCCCCCATGGCGTTCCCTCCACCATGTTGGGTGTTATTATTTCCCCCACCTGCTCATTCCCTGCCTTGTTCGCCCCACTCTCCATGCCAGCACCACTGCCTACGCCAGCACCACTGCCTACGCCAGCACCACTGCCTACGCCAGCACCACTGCCTACGCCAGCACCACTGCCTACGCCAGCACCACTGCCTACGTCAGCACCACTGCCTACGTCAGCACCACTGCCTACGTCAGCACCACTGCCCAAGGCACTTCCGCCCTCTTCCGCCCTCCCCTCACGCTGCTCATCCTGTTCCTTTCGCCTCCCTTCCTCCCCCGTCCCCCTAGCCCCTTCCTCCGCCTCCCCACATCTCCCTCCCTTCCCCTCTTCCCCACATTCACTACCCCTCTCCTCCGCCCCTGCCTCTCTCCGCCTTCCCGGCCCCCCAAGCTCCCCTGAACTCTCCGCTTCTCCACACACTTTCCCGTCTTTCCCGTCTCCCCATTCCCTGTCCGCCTTCCCCGCCCCCCTGCTCCGCGTCCCCTCGTCCGGGCCCGCACCCCTCTCTCCGACCCCCCACGCGTCTACCCACGCCCACCCGCTCCGCCTGTCCCCGCTCGCCCTCCCCCAGCTGCCCACCACACCGCCGCCGCCTCCGCCATCCGCGCCCCCGCCAGCAGCGCCGCTCCCCCGCGCGCCCGCACCCTTTATGGCGCGGAGAAACGCGGAAGCGGACAAGCTCTCCGCCCCGCCCTTGAAGCTGTCCGCCGCGCCCTTCAAGCTCTCCGCCGCGCCCCCCCGTCCGCGCGCCGTCCACCTGCCGCTGCCCCACAGCTGCGCGCCGCCACTAGGCAGCGCGGCCTTGTCTGGAGCCGCCGCCTCGTTACTAGCACACTCGTCGCCGCTCCCCTGCGCGCCCCCGAAGACACGCCACAACGCGTTGCTCATATTCGCACCCGCAGCCGCACTCCCACTCGCACTCCCTTTATAATCACCTGCGCCGCACTTCAAGTCCCCGTTCCCAATCCCCACAGCTTCTCCCTCGCTATTGTCACCCCCCCCGCGGCGCTCTCTCTCCGCGTGCGCCCCCGTGCTTCCCCTCGCCGCCAGACTCGCCACCTGCGGGCGGGGGGCGACGGGCGGGTGCGGCGTTACGCGGGCTTGCTTCCACACGGCGACGTGCAATACACTAAAGCGAGTCTGCGTATAGAGGGGACGCGGGCCTACCTGAGCCCAGGATAGGCCGAACGCGCCTTGCGGCCTGCCTTTCTCCGTCAATCGCTCCGCCCCTTCCCTCTGCGACACTGCTCTCTGCGACTCTTCCCTCTGCGACTCTTCCCTCTGCGACGCTTCTTCCTGCGACTCGCTCTGCTCGTCGCCCGTCGGTTCGTCGTCGCCCTTCGCTCGTGCGCTTCCTGCCCCTTTCCGCACGTTCCACGTCAGCCATCCCCCAGCTGCTCCCAATCCCCCTATTCCCCGTCCCCCCACTCCTCCCGCTCCTCCCCATCCTCTCGCGCCGTCATCCACCCCGTTTCCGCCGCCCCTGCCGCCCTTCGCGGGCAGCCATCCAATCAACAGCGGCGCGAAGGCCGCTCGCGCTGAAGCCACCTGCCGGGGAGCCGCGTCGGCGTTTTCAGAGGCACGCGCATCGCCGTCGATCATGGCGCCACCGGCGAGGCTGGACGACGCACGATCGACATGCGACAACCCTCTCGCGAAAAGGAAATCACCATGCGACAACGATCTTCCCTTCTTGCGACGAAACCCCTTGCCGGATTTAGAATCTCTGCCCGCCTTTCCTCCCTTGCCGGGAGCATCCGCTTTCTTGCTTCCGCCGCGCGGCGGCGAGATCTCCTCCCCCGATGCGCTCCGCGCTCTCCACTCACTCTTTCCGCCTCCCCCCCGCCCCCGCGCCTGCGCTCGTTCTCGCTCATCGCCCGCACCCCGCTGCGGCCTGCTTTTTGTAACATCGTCGTAGCTGCTGCTTCGATGCATTTCGCCATCGTTGGTAACCGTTCCGTGCGGTTCGCTGCTAGTGGTACCATCTTTTGTCGCCGTGGATCGCGGCGTGCACGACGCTAGAATGAAATGCGTGCCGCCGTAGTTCCCTCGCACGCATCCAACCACCTCGCCTGCGACTCGAAACGAGTCGTCTGAGCCGAACGGTGACGCAGCAGACGGCTCTGCTGACGTGGCAGTACGTGGCGCCGCGTGGTCGCGGATGAGGTACTCCGACGACGAAGGCGACGCCGCGTCGCGCGGTTGTCGCACCGCGGTGAGAAAAACGGCGCGATCGTGCGGCGCGGCGAGGAATTGCGAGAGAGTGAGGACCGAGGGCGAGGCGGATAGAAACGAGGGAGCCGCCGCGACTAAGGAGGGGGAGGAGGCATGCTCAGCGTGGACTTGCAGAGTGAAGTGCGTCAGATGTGCCATGTGGCACTTGCTGATAGGATGACAGAGGCTAAGGGTTAGGGATAATCTGATATGGCATACGGTAATCGTTTCAAGCCGAGGAGTAGTGCACTAGTGTCTAAACGGAGAGATCAGGATTTGCCGTAGAGACGGACAAGGCGGTCAGGATTGAAAGACGACGGGAAAGAACATATGTTTTTTATACCATGGCGAACTACGAGAAGGGGATTATGGCGCAGACCACTCTAGACTTGGTCGTATCAGCCATGACTGACGTCAGGCGCGATAGCAATTGCGCGGGATGAGCTGATTGCCAGTTGCCAGGAAGTGGAGCATCCGTCAGCCTTTTCCCGAACCAGCAGGGGCTGTTGGGTTAGGCTTGAGGGGGCGTATTTTCCAAAAGGGGACAGTTGTTGAAACCACAGCAAGGAATCAACTGGCTTACTGTACAAACACCTATCATTCTCTAAGCAACGAAACACATTGCTTTCCTCCAAGAACTTTCCATTTTCAGGGGTGAAACTTTCCCGATTGCAACCTGGTGGAAAGGGAACTCAGAGTTAGGTTCGAATTTTCAGTGCCCCATTTTGGCATGCGATTTCACACTACTTCAAGCCGCCATTGTCACGTCCGCGTCTCCCTCCACCTTCTGTCTGGCGATGCTCCAAGTCTATCGCAGGCGACTCTGGGAGTACGTCAGACACGCACTTCCCGCCTTCCGCCCTCGCAACCTGATCGCAGCACCACAATTGACTAGTCAGCAACGACAGTCAGAAATTGCGGCGACGACTTTGTTGTGCGTCTGTGACCAGAAATGAGATATTACCTTTACATAATCCATCTCTCGAAATCAGTACAGACCAGTACAACAAACGGGTAATACATTACTGTGAACAAATCACCAGCTTTTCACAAACGGTGGCCATTACGATTTTTTCAGCCAATGGCGATGCTCCAAGTCTATCGCAGGCGACTCTGGGAGTACGTCAGACACGCACTTCCCGCCTTCCGCCCTCGCAACCTGATCGCAGCACCACAATTGACGAGTCAGCAACGACAGTCAGAAATTGCGGCGACGACTTTGTTGTGCGTCTGTGACCAGAAATGAGATATTACCTTTACATAATCCATCTCTCGAAATCAGTACAGACCAGTACAACAAACGGGTAATACATTACTGTGAACAATTCACCAGCTTTTCACAAACGGTGGCCATTACGATTTTTTCAGCCAATGGAGACCATGGATCAATCGCGTTAGTCACAGGCTGGCTTTGTACCCCGTAATAGCAGCTACGCTAGGTATGATGCCCTATAGTTATGCGTTGAGCACATCTACATCTCACGATGTAGCACCAGTACTGTACTGCTCTATACAGACGCAGTAAATGTGAACTTGATGGGGAGTAAAGTCGACGGCGTACAGTGCTTCAGTAACGGAACAAATTTTGTCGTGGAACGCTGTCCGACTCCAGACCAGACCATAGAAAGATCGCACAGCAAGTTCACGCACACGGCGCTCATAGCGATTCGTTTTCAGCCAAACGTTGCACGTGCTGGCTTTGCTTTCATCTCCTTCCACCACACAGAAGCGTACTAAACCTTGGTAAGCCTCTGGAAATCCCAGCGAATGCATCAGCGCTGCCGTGCCAACCTCGCTGCAGATGAAAGAGGTTTGGCCCGAACCAGTCGCTGTGGCGCAACTTGACCCAACTCAAGCCCAGCCCCACTCACCCGCTCATCGATAAGAGCTTTCAAGTCAACATTTTTGCTGGTTATCGCTATACCCCATCCATCCATGTTAGGCGCTGCCATGGCTGTCACCTCCTCGACCTCGATACAGCACGGCGCGCACCACCGGCGGGTGTGGTCGCTCATCTGCTGCCGCAACCCCGCCACGCACTCGTTTTACGGCGACGATGCCGACACGGAGAGTAGCACGCGCGGAGATGCGCAGGCCGCAGCAGCACCCGCGGAGAAGCTGGCGGAGCCGGCGCATCAAGTGCGGGGAGGCGACGATGGAACTCCGCTACTATCACTGAAGGAAATGGCGGAAGGCGCAGTTACGGGGGGCGCGTCACGCGCTAAATCGGCAGCAAGAGATACTGGGGAGTCATCGATGACATTATGCGACGCGCCGATCGATGATGGAGCAGGAGTCGCGTCATCATCCGACCTTTCCAGCAGCGTATCCACATCAGCACTGCATTCCGCGTTTAGCGCCGCGGGTTCCCCCTTTCGAGCATCGTCCGGTTACAGAGAATCCGCCGCATCTGCCGGTGCCACGCCTCCGCCGGAAATTATGGACATGTGGAAGAGCCTCGAAGCCCCGACATCGCCTAAGAACGGTTCCGCCGCTCCTCGCAAGATGCGCGCCGCGCATTCCGCCGACGCCTCGTTTCTCCGCTTGCACCACGCGGCTGTGCGCGTGGAAGTTCCGCATTCTCCGGCGAATCTCTCGGACTCCGCCGTTTCACCAACAAACTCGGAGGCAGGCGTGCCAAGGACTCCGGGCGGCACTTATTTGTCGTTCTCAACCGCCCCCTCGCCCCGCACTCTGCAATGCGCGTATTCGCTACAAACCGGCGCGCTTATCGTCACGCCCGGCCCCTCCAGTTGGGCGGCGATTGGCGGAAACGGCGGGGCTCGGGAGAGCGAGAGGCCGCACACTTCGCCGGGGGGAACGAAGAGAACGGGGGGGATTGTGGGGTGGGAGCAGGAGGCGCTGCGGTGGGAGGAGACGGAGCAGCAGCGGCTGCGCGTGGAGGGAGAGGTGCGCGGAATGGTTGCGCACCTCATGGGGGAGCTTCGCGCGGTAAGTGGGGCGGCGCAACAGCTGGCGGAACCGGTTTGCGCGAATGTGGCGGAAAGGTGCGGGGAGGATGAGATCGCGACCAGCGGAGAGGGAAGAGCGGAATGCATAGGGGCTGAAAGATTGGCGTCGGTGTCGGCGGCAGCGCGCGCGGTTCGGCTGCTGGTGAAGAGCAGCGACGCGAATCGCAGCATCGTGGCGGCCGTGCCGGGCGCCATCGGCGCGCTCGTGGGGGTGGCGGACGCGCTGCTGCTGGCGGAGAGCGCGCGGATCCGCGGAGGTGAGGGGCGGAAAGCGCGCGGAGCAAACGCGGCGGGCGAGGCGGAGAGGAGAAGTGAGCACGGGGGGAGGAGCGAAGGGCAAATGGCAGTGGAAGGGGTAGGGCGGAGTGTGGGAGAGGCGGAGCGCGGAGAGGAGAGTGGTGGGGCGATGGTGGCGGGTAGAGGGGAGGTGGAAGAGGCCGAAACGGCGGAAACGGCGGAGCCGGCGGAGGGAAAGAAGGTGCGCGGGGCAGCGGAGAGCTCGCGGAGGGAGAGCGCGCGGGAGGCGGTGGGGCATGCGGTGACGGCGCTGCTGAACCTGTCGCTGTCGCCCGCCACTCACGGCGCCCTGCTGGCCGAGGGCGCCGTGGACGCCCTCTCCCGCCTCGTGGCTCGGCCTTGCTGCCCTGCTGGTCATCATGGTGATAGCGGCGATGGCAGTGATGGCGATGGTGGCAGCACTGGTGGTGGCAGCCGTGGTGGTGGCGGTGGAGAGGGGAGAAGGGGACACGCGTGCCAAGAGGCCCGTACGGGAGAGGAGGGGGCGTGCAGGGGGGATGATGAGGTGTCAGCGGGCTCAGTTGGATTGCCATCGGTGGTGTCACAGGAGGCACGGGAGAATGCAGCAGCCGCTCTCTTCATGCTCACGTCCTCGCCACTCCCGCCCTCCCTCTCCTCTGCACACTCTACCTCTCTCTCCTCCTCCACCTCCTCCCTCACCGGCCCTTCCCTCTCCACCGGCCACCTCGCCGTCCTCTCCTCTTCCTTTTCCCAGCAAGAACCGCTCCCCACTGGAACTCACACCTCAAACCCCAACGCAACTCCTTCCGATCCGCCCAGCACCGCTCTGAACCCCTTTGGATGCGATCCGGACGCAATGCGGCGGCGGGTGGCAGCCACGCCAGGCGCCATCGCCGGCCTGGTGCACATGCTGCCGCCCTCGCCCGCCCGCTCTCTTCGCGGCCGCAAGGACGCCGCCCTCACACTCTTCAACCTCTCCCTCTGCGCCGACCTCGTCCCCGTAATCATCGCGGCTGGCGCCGTTTGTCCACTAGTGCGGATGCTGGAGGAGGAGGAGGGGGGGATGCGGCTGGGCCTGGAGGAGAAAGCAGCAGCGGTGCTGGCGCGGCTGGCGCAGGCCAAGGAGGGCAGCAGGCAGATCGTTGCCGCCGGTGGTATACCACCGCTGGTGGAGCTGCTAGGGGCGAGCAGCACGGCTCTAGGGGCGTCCCCATCCATGGCTTCTCTGGCAGAGCTAAGTGCTGTGTCAGAGGAAGGGGCGGGAGGGGGAGGTGGGGGGAGTGTGGGGAGTGGCGTTGGGGAGCAGCAGCGGTGGAGAAGGGTGCAGAAGGATGTGGGGGCGGTGCTGGTGAGGGTGGTGGAGGAGGAGGGTGCACAGCAGGAGATGCTGGAGGAGGGTGCACTGCTGGTGCTGCGCAAGATGAGGCACCGCGGGTCGTCCAGAGCCCGACTCACGGTAGGTTGATGGGTCATGACGGAAATGGGTCATGAGGGGAATGGGTCATGACGGGAATGGGTCATGGAAGTTGTTTGTGAAAGCCTGGATATGGGGGTGATGATGGGGTGGGTTAATGTGTGTGGCTGCTATCACAACCAACCCAAGCTCATGTGGTCTCAGTGGACGTTTCAAAGCGTCATGGTGATCTTCCTCATGCGTGTTTGCCCACAATGCCTGTGTATCTGTGTGCTGCAGGCTAACCAGTTGCTGGATGCTCTGCAAAGCAAGACCACACATTAACGGAGCACAAGTTTTGGGTTTACTGTTGACTAGTTATGTCATCCTTTAGATCCTTGTGTGAGGTGAAGGCAACCTGAATGGAAGGGAGCAGGATGTATAATTACAGTTGCCTTCCCGTTCTGACTGTACACTTACCTATTTTTAATCAGTTCCCGAAGTTATTATATTACTTCCTTATTCGGGTTTGTCTCCCGACTAGGTACACCGAACGATTCACATTTCCTCGAAGTGTGGGGTTTCGCGAAAAGTGGTGGCTGTGGTATCACCTTCCGCCGAAAGTGACCTGGCGAATCGTGATTCGAGAGGCGTGCTGCGTTCGCACGCAGCGATGATCAGCTGGCTCTCCTGGGACTTCAGCCTGATGGTTTCGAACGGTCAAGATGAACTCCCGCGTCAATCAAGGGCTGCGACGCCAGGGAGGATTGACAAATCCCGCGGTCCCATTTTCCCGCCATCCGTCCTCTGTCCTATTGGGGTCACCCCATCGCACAATGTTCAGTGATGGCATCGCCCATCGGGGATTGATCTGTCGCCCATCGAGTGTTGCCCTGTCGCCCATCGGGCTTTGCTCTGTCACCAAGGGAAATCCCCGAACAGTTTTGACGATAATAAGAATCCGAATTCATTTTCCCTTCAGTATCTTGAGCTCACCTCAGTTTCTCTCTGTCCATAGGCCATATCGTTCCACAGATTCAGCTTGTGACTTCCAAATTCACAGCCATGGCCACGGAAACTTTCCTCTTCACTTCCGAGTCCGTGAACGAGGGACACCCTGACAAGCTTTGCGATCAGGTAAATCCAACTTCTTCTCCTAGAAATGTTTCGGAAGTCCGTGAAATCGCTCGGTTCACCTGCGAGTATAGATTCAGCTGATTGAGAATTCGTGCTCGGTTTAACTAAGCTAGCTTTTGCCTGCGCGTACGCATGTGCGCGTTCCTGATTGTGTGCGTGTTGGTTTACAGGTGTCCGATGCCGTTCTCGATGCGTGCCTGGAGCAAGACCCCGACAGCAAGGTGGCGTGCGAGTCGTGCACCAAGACGAACATGGTGATGATCTTCGGCGAGATCACGACCAAGGCCAAGATCGACTACGAGAAGATCGTGCGCGACACCGTCAGGAACATCGGCTTCGTCTCCGACGACGTCGGCCTCGACTGCGACAAGTGCAATGTACGCCCTCCTAAGATCTCCGATTTGTTTTGTATTTCTTTCTTTCTTTGCTTTAAGAATTCTTGAGGGTTTCACGAATCCATCGTCTTAGTAAGCGTCGCGTATTGTCACTCCCAGCTGGATTCATACTGACGATTCAATACGTGGTGGAATTGCTGCAGGTTCTGATCAACATCGAGCAGCAGAGCCCCGACATTGGGCAGGGCGTGCACGGCATGGGCACCAAGAAGCCCGAGGAGGTCGGCGCTGGCGACCAGGGCCACATGTTCGGCTATGCCACCGACGAGACCCCCGAGCTCATGCCGCTCACGCACGTGCTCGCCACGCAGCTGGGCGCGAAGCTCACGGAGGTGCGCAAGAACGGCGTGTGCCCGTGGCTGCGGCCCGACGGCAAGACGCAGGTGACCGTTGAGTACAAGAACGAGGGCGGCGCGATGGTGCCGATCCGCGTGCACACGGTGCTCATCTCGACGCAGCACGACGAGACGGTCACCAACGAGAAGATCGCGGCGGATCTCAAGGAGCACGTGATCACGCCCGTCATCCCCGCCAAGTACCTCGACGACAACACCATCTTCCACCTTAACCCCTCCGGCCGCTTCGTCATCGGCGGTCCCCACGGAGACGCCGGTCTCACCGGGCGGAAGATCATCATCGACACGTACGGCGGGTGGGGCGCTCACGGAGGTGGCGCCTTCTCCGGGAAGGACCCCACCAAGGTGGATCGCTCCGGCGCGTACGTCGCCCGCCAGGCCGCCAAGAGCATCGTCGCTGCCGGCCTCGCCAGGCGCGCGCTCACTCAGGTGAGAATCGATAGACGGGTTGTAGGGTTTAAGAAACACGGTTGGAAATATGTGGTGTCTGCTTCGTGACCACCCCAAAGTAACAGATCCACGGCTCACACCACCCGCACCCGATCGATAATGCTCTCTGAAATGAACTTGATTCGTGAATCAAGCAACAAGTACCATGTTCTAGCTGGTAGTGCTGCGAGTTCCTCAATCTTGGTGCTAACTCTCCCATCCTCCCAATTATCCTTCTGGCAGGTCTCGTACGCCATCGGTGTGCCCGAGCCGCTGTCGATCTTCGTGGACACATACGGCACTGGCAAGATCCCCGATAAGGAGATCCTCGAGCTAGTGAAGGAGGCGTTCGACTTCCGGCCGGGCATGATCTCGATCAACCTGGACCTGAAGAAGGGCGGCAACAAGCGCTACCAGAAGACGGCCGCGTATGGCCACTTCGGCCGCGACGACCCCGACTTCACGTGGGAGGTGGTCAAGGAGCTCAAGCCCAAGACGGCCGCCTAAGGGATTGGCGATTAAAGATAGTGCTTAGGTGATACCTGGTAGTGCTGTTGACAGTGCTAGACTTATATACGCCTGCGAAAGCGCAATGGATTATATATTTCGTTCTCACAATAAACAAGTGCACAAGACGAGGGTTTGTACGAAGGAGGCAATCAAGGCCTCTCATCTGAAGGAGGCAATCAAATTGAAAGCACAGCTCAGATGGCGCTTATGGGTGCAGCACGTTAGCTCTTGTCAAGCACCAAGTTAGCTCCTGCAAATTCTACTGCACACTATTTACAAAGTCTGAGCGTTTGAGTGATGTGCATCCAAATCTCTCACCAGCAGGGCGCTCAGATGGAGCAAACACCTCTGATGGGGAGCGCCCTCCCTAGGAAAGCAGAGGTGGGCAGTGTTAGTGCACTGGCTGCAGGGTAATGCAGCCCGTGCAGGTGTTGTGGGAGCAGGTGTGCAGACGGGGATGCGAGGTGTTGTGGGAGCAGGTGTGCAGACGGGGATGCGAGTCACATACCGGTACTACCTGCAGGGCTGTCGAGGAGATGGCTAGGCAGGCAGAGGTGAGAGAGCGGTCAGGCAGCGTCAGGCAACGGACACCCCGACTTCACGTGGGAGGTGGTCAAGGAGCTCAAGCCCAAGACCGCCGCCTAGAGTGTTGGTGAACTCTAGGCGCCTAAGATAATGCTTAGGTGATACCTGTTAGTGCTGTTGACAGTGCTAGACTTGTATACGCCTGCTGAAGCACAATATTTTTCGTTTGAAAACGCACCAGAAGTGGCTAATACTCTCACACACAGTTCACACCACAGCTAGCAAAGTTGGTACTCGGTTGAAGCGCAATTGTTCTTGTTGATCCAAGTAAGGAGCCCCTACATTTTCTAGTGCACACTATTTACAATATCTTCATGAGCACCTACATCCACACGGTAGCTGTGTACTCTTACTTCCACTTTCACCAGCACAGCGCCCTCATGTGGTACCGTAAACACCCCTGTTGTCCGGTGAGGGAAGTGGTTGCCTGTGATGGAAATGATGGGAGCGCATGGAACATGAGGGGAGAGCGGGGAGATGAGGGGAGCGCGAGAAGAAGAGGGAAGAGTGGGGGAATGAATGAGGGGAAAGCAAGGAAGATGAGGGGAGAGCGGGGAGATGAGGGGAGCGCGGGAAGAAGAGGGCAGGGCCGGGGAAAGAGGGGAAAGCAAGGAAGATGAGGGGAGAGTGGGGAGATGAGGGGAGCGCGGGAAGAAGAGGGCAGGGCCGGGGAAAGAGGGGAAAGCGAGGAAGATGAGGGGAGAGTGGGGAGGATGAGGGGAGAGCGGGGAGGATGACGGGAGAGCGGGGAGGATGAGCGAGTTGGGAAGCTGAGAGATGCATGACGTTTCTAGGCCTGCCAAGGGAGAAAAGGGAGGGCTGGGAAGCGGAGAGATGAATGAGGCGCATAAAAAACCGATCCTCTCCGTCTTCAAAGGTTCGTTCCGACTGTTCCACTTTCACCCGTCCATTCCGTCTGTTCTCCCTTCCACTCAAGTCCAGGCTACCGTCCAGTGGGCGCGTCCGCCTTCCCCTCATCGTCCGCCTTCCCCCCATCGTCCGTCTTCCCCTCATCGTCCGTCTTCCCCTCATCGTCCGCCTTCCCCCCATCGTCCGCCTTCCCCTCATCGCCCGCCTTCCCCCCATCGCCCATCTTCCCTCATCGTCCATCTTCCCCTCATCGCCCATCTTCCCCTCATCGCCCATCTTCCCCTCATCGCCCATCTTCCCCTCATCGCCCATCTTCCCCTCATCGCCCATCTACCCCTCATCGCCCATCTTCCCCTCATCGCCCATCTTCCCCTCATCGCCCATCTTCCCCTCATCGCCCATCTTCCCCTCATCGCCCATCTTCCCCTCATCGCCCATCTTCCCCTCATCGCCCATCTTCCCCTCATCGCCCATCTTCCCCTCACCGTGCTCCTCCCTCTTCTCGCCTCCACTCCCCTCCCGCCCTCCGTGTTTCCCGTCTTCCGTCCAAGCTACCATCGACGCACGCTCAAGTCCAAGAAAATAAGGCTGACGGGGGCAAGGGGAGGGGGAAGGGGAAAATAAGGGGGAAGGAGAAAATAAGGGGGGAGGGGAAAATAAGGGGGAAATGGCCGCTTCGCCCTTCCGCCAGTCCTCTCCGCCCCCTTCCCCCTCTTCTCCCCTCCACTCTCCTCCACTCACCTCCACTCACCTCCCGTCCTCCTTTCCCGCGTCTCGAGTCCAAGATACCGTCGACGCTCCGAACTTCTGAGGGGGAAAGCGTAAAGGGGAGGGGGAAGGGGAAATTACCATCACCTCCGCTCACCTCCCTTACCGCGTCTTGCGTCCAGGATACAGTCGACGCTGTGAGGTAGACGAAACGCGCTGGAATCGACGAAACGCACTACTGATGCGTACGAAATCGACGATAGTAATTCGTCCGCCGACAAACGTTATGATTCTGCGCATTGCGCAAGTCAATGGAAGTCAGATCTGGAGCGCGCAACTAGAAATTGTGTTACTGAGACTGCGATATTTGATCATAACTATACTGCTAGCACGCCAATAGACGCGTGAAGCGACTAACTGTACGTACGACTGAGGAGTGAGCGGCACTTGCTGCATCGTCAAAGTATTCTACTTATATCGGCTAATGTTACTAATCGCGGAGGACCAGAGAGGTGTCTCGCGTCGCAAGGGGACGGCGACGGCCTACCAGCAGCGCCTGGCAGGTAACGTGAACCGTTCATGCTTTGGCGATCCGTTCTCAACACGTCTTGGCAGCTTCAGTTTTATTTTTAATTTGCCTACATTCTAACGCGTTGATTTGCTTTCCTGCAGAATATGGCGCGCACGACACACGCACGCATGGCGACGGTCCTTTGGGCGGGACTCACGGCGCTGGCGGCGCTTCTCCCTGCCGTCGCTTGGTCGTTTTTCCGTCGCTCTACCGTCGGACTCTACCGTCAGCGACGAGGCCTCTACCGTCAACCACGAGGCCTCTACCGTCAGCCACGAGGCGTGTCTCACGACGCATGCGGACGGCGACGGCTGGCGTCACTTCGTCCGTCGCGGGATCTCTTCAACCACACACACGTGACTTCTCCGCCCCTGGCACGAAAACCCGTCTGATATTCGTCATTCCTACTCATTTCCGCACTCATGAACTGAATTCTCTGCCTCGCAGTTTTCGCGCCTTCGTCCCTCTCGCCCTCGTTCTGATTCTCCTTCTCCTTCTCAACGACTTGCAGAAGCTGGCGTACGGGTGGCGAGGACGGATGACGATGCGTGACGACGCGTGGCGGGAGGCACGGCGACGCTCTTCGGTCGCGCCTCACGGTCGCACGACGTGTCTCGCGGGCGAGAGGCGTGTCTCACGGCGGGATTCACGGCGCTTCCCTCTGCGCTTGGCGGCACGTCAACGTGGTAAGATTAACTTTTTTCGTTACGAAAATATTAACTTCCCGCTTCCTGCTTTCGTTTTTTTTCCAAAAGATTAACTTTTCATTCGTGTTTTACGTCTCAGTGCAGCCAGCAGGAGCGGAGCGGGAGCAAACGGCGCTGGAGGCGCGGGATAACTGCTGCAGCCTTCTTCTCTCGTGGTAAGTATCAGTTTCAATTTCCTGCTTTGTTTTTTCAAGGTTTTAACGTCTTGTTCTCTGCTCCGTCTTAGTGCAGGAGCGGCGGTACCGAGAGGGAGAGCTCGCGGCGCTGGCGGAGACGGGACAACGGCTGCAGCCTTCTTCTCTCGTGGTAAGTATCAGTTTCAAATTCCTGTTCCTTTTTTTCAAGGTTTTAACGTCTTGTTCCCTGCTCCGTCTTAGTGCAGGGAGCGGCGGTACCGGGAGGGAGAGCTCGCGGCGCTGGCGGAGACGGGACAACGGCTGCAGCCTTCTTCTCTCGTGGTAAGTAGCAGTTTCATTTTCCTGCTTTGTGTTATTCCTGGTTTTAACGTCTTGTTTGTCTGCTCCGTCTTAGTGCAGGGGCGGCGGTACTGGGAGACAACGGAGCTGGCGGGGACGACGGAGTTCAAGCTACGAGGACTCCCTCACGCGGGGGGGGGGGAGGTAACGCGGGGAGGTCTCCCTTGCCTGGTAAGTGCCGTCGAATTTCGTTTAGTTTTTTCTTTGATTATGAAACTAACTTATTTTTTGTGTGCGTCTTCTTTAGCGCAGGCGATGCGGGGATGGGAGCTCGCGGGCCGCGTAACGACGCTTCTTCGGGGACGTCTTACGCGCGCGCGGCGGGGCATCGTAGCACGGCGGGGCATCAGAGCACGGCGCACCGCGGCGCATGGTGCGCGGCGGCGCCTCTCTCTGCGGTGGTCGTCTGTTCGTCCCGTCGTCAAATTTCCGCTCGTCGCCTTTCTGCTTGTCGCCTTTTCGCTGTCGCCTTTTGCGCTGCTCTCTCCGAAACGGTTTCAGAATGTCTAATGCCCTTTTTGTTGTCGTATGTGGTGCAGGGACGGAAGACTCGAGGAGGCTTCACACACGTGGAGTGCGGAGACGCTCGAGCGAGGAGCTTGCTGGAGCTGACTGAGCGAGGAGCTGGCTGGGCCGGGGACGTGCAGCGAGGAGCAAGGAGCAAGGAGGAGGGAGCGAGGTGGAATTTGACTTCCCCCTCCCGTCCCGCCCTTTCTGACAGATTCGGCGGGAGCGGGAGCACCCAGCGCAATCGCCAGGCCTGTAAGAGGTGTGCTAGTGGGTACAGGACGATTAGGAGCGTTAGACAGACTCGATTAGGCACACACACACGGGCGATAGTATGGGTTCAGGTGCGTTCAGGTATGCTTCATGACGGCTGGCCGTCCTCTTGACGGCTGGCCGTCAATCTGACAACATTCTGACAACAATTACTGTAACGGGGAACCTATCGTCAAATTCCCCCCCTTTATTTTAATATGCCCGTTACTAATTTTGACCGTTTCCCCCCCTCCCTAGCACTTCCACATTCCCCCCCCCTCCCTCCCAAACAGATCCCACGCGAATGACCCTCACCTCATCGTGGTGCGTGGGTGTAACGTCAGGGGCATTTGCCTCTGACGGCCAAGAGGGGTCAAGAAGACGGCCAAGCTGCTGCTGTGGACGGGCAAGTGGAGCTGCTTCGGAGATGGTCAAGAAGAAAACAAGATCAGAAGATATTGAAGCTGCTTTGGAGTCGAGGCGCTGCTGTGGAGGCTCAAGCGAAGCTGTTTACACTTGGCTTAGGAAGCTTAGATAGCTTCGCAGCAACTCTCGGTTGACTTGTAACTCTTTATCTAAATAGTATACCTTTTGTAATAACCTAACAAGAACAACGGAAATAGCAGTCAACGAGCAACTCAAAGATGCGTGCCGAATCGCTCGGCGTTGGTTACGCTTCTCCCGCATCCGTACTTACGCTTCTCTAGCCTTTTCAACCAGGGTGAATGTTCCATAAATAAGTCTGTCAGCGCGAATCCCGCTTCAAGCAGTCAGACAGGCACTAGTCAAGCGTTAGGCTGGTGAATCCCGTCGCGGTGTCGCTTGACCGGTTTCAACCGCGTGATTTCTTCGTTGTGGTGATTCTCGTTCACCTCTGCTAGCTCCCCCGTATGACACCGGAAGCAGCTGCAAGCGCGACATTGGCAGATGTCAGTCGCGAAGGCGGATGTCAGTCGCGAAGGCGGATGTCAGTCGCGAAGGCGGATGTCAGTCGCGAAGGCGGCTCCGCAGTTGATTTCGGGAATTCAGATCATGTCGCCTGCATCGATGTCAAACGACTGGCGCAACTGTCCGCGCAGCGATCAGCGCAATCATTGGCTTGACGGATCAGCGCAACCACCATATACAGGATTCGCGCAGCGAAAGAGACGTTCGACGGTCCTCCGCTTCCCTAGATTAATCTCCAACTCGTTATCCCTTTCGCATGGTTCGTCTTGGCTGTGATGATCACGAATCTCGACGAAACCGCGTGTGCTGCCGCGTGTGCTGCCGTGACTCACGGCTGAGTTTGGTGAGCGGAGTTGGGGGGGCTTTTGTGTTGACACGCTTGCTGCTGGTTTAGTCTTCATGTCATGCAAGAGCGTGCCATGCAATGAGCCATGCAAGAGCGTGCCGTGCAATGAGCCATGCAAGAGCGTGCCATGCAATGAGCCATGCAAGAGCGTGCCATGCAATGAGCCATGCATATGACTCTTATGTGTGGTCACTTGTACCGGTAACACATTCACCATCACGCATCAACCTCCACACTATATTGACCATCACACTCTCACCATCATACACCATCAGACTCTCACCATCACGCACTCACCACCACACACTCCCCATCACACACTCACCTGCTCCCTCACTCCCTCCCCCACTGCAGCCCTCCCATCTGTCTGCATTGTCACCACCGGCACCACCGACAGCATTGCCGCCTTTCCCCCCTCTCCCCCATCACACACTCACCATCTGCGCCTGCTCCCTCACTCCCTCCCCCACTGCAGCCCTCCCGTCTGATTGCATCGTCACCACCGGCACCACTGACAGCATTGCCGCCTTCCTGGCCGCGAGGGTAACTACCCCCGGGTATGCCGTCACCTCGCTCGGGTCTACCCTCACTGTCAAGCTCGTCAGCACTGCGAGAATCGACGATGCACGTTTTGGAGTATACAGCCACCGCTTGCCGCCCGGAGATTGGGCGCCGCCCGGGGTGGAGAACGAGGGGGAGGCGGAGCAGGGAGGTGCGGCGGAAGAAGACAAGGAGTGCAAGTGGCTGGTCGGCGGGTCCATTGCCACCAGTGAGGTGAGCTTCTGTTCCGCCCTCCATTGTGCTCGTCATTTCCCTGTCAATAAAAATGTTCCTCCTCACGCCCTCTTCCTGCACGGCATCATTGAGTCCATTGCCACCATTGAGGTGCGCTTCTGCTCCTCAATCTCTTTCTCCCTTGATACCGCCTCTTTTATGTTTTGTTACAGTCACATACACTCACACAAGCACCATTACACTCAAGTGCTCATTCCCATATGCTCCTATACACGCAACATCACATCACGCCCACACGCATGATTCGCTCCCGCTCTCCCTATACAACTGCCCCCACCAAGCCAGGGCATACTCGTTATTAGCTGACCTGGGAGCAGCGCCGCCAGTGAAGCGGGTGTACACAGCAGGGGGAGGCGCAGGCAACCCTACATGGAGTGCTATCAGGGAGCGAGTGATGGGAGTGCCTGGCCCCATCAGGGAAAACACGGATGCTGCCTTTGGCTCTGCACTGCTCGCTAGAAAAGGGTTCTTGAGACACACGGCAAAATAAGCCAAGGCTAAATGTGGTAGCACCGGTATTCAGCACAGGCACCTGTACTGGTACTCAGCACAGGCACCTGTACCGTACTTCATGTTAAAGATACTGCTTAGGTGATTCCAGACTTATATGTGCTAAGCGCAATGGATTATTTACTTTGCTTGCTTGAATAAGGTACTGCACAGGAGAACATGGGCCTGTGCATGGGCCTGTACACGAGCCTGTACATGGGCCTGTACATGGGCCTGTCTGTACATGGGCCTGTCTGTACATGGGCCTGTACATGGGCCTGTACATGGGCCTGTCTGTACATGGGCCTGTCTGTACATGGGCCTGTACATGGGCCTGTACATGGGCCTGTACATGGGCCTGTACATGGGCCTCCCACCTAAACAAGGCACTCGAATTCAGTTAGCTCGGGTTGTGCCTGCCTGTAGCAGTAAGATCTTGTCAAACACTAAGCAAGCAGCCTCTGCGGATTCTCCTGCACACTATTTACAGTCTCAGTGCACACTATCTACAGGCACTCGTTGGTTGTGCATCCACATGGAGTGTACTGTGTACACCTCTGTTGGGTTGGGTGGCCCGAGAGATGGGGATGGATGGGCACGGGTCTGGCGCTCCATGGGTGTGAGAGAGGAAGTGGGCAGTCAGCCAGCAGAGACACGGGGGCAGCGGCAGTGCATGGGTTGCAGAGCAATGCAGCCGCTGGTGTGCACATGGGGATGAGTGGGCCGGCTTTCCAGGGGTGAGAGATGGCCTGTATGCGCACCAAGCAGGGGCAGCATGGGCGTGAGAGAGGAAGTGGGCTAATGGGGAGATGGTCGGCAGCAACAGGTGGGAGCAGTCAGGCAGCGGAGGCACGGGGGCAGTGGCAGTGCACGGGTTGCAGGGCGATGCAGCCGCTGGTGTTGAGGGAGCGGCGGGCAGGGCAAGTGTGCAGATGGGGGTGTGCGTCACACACCGCCTGCAGGGCTGCTGGGGAGATGGCTAGGCAGCCACTGATGTTGAGAGAGACCAATCCGTGCGCGCCACGTGGCGGGCGCGAGTAGAGCACCGTGGTGGCATCGCCCCTGATGAGTGGGGGGGTGGTGAGAGGTGGGGCGCATCCAGGGGACAGGGTTGACTTTTGAGTCGACTCAAAGGTCAATGGGCCACATCCAGGGGACAGGGTTTTGGGGTTTGAGGTTGCGGCAAGGAATGAGGAGTGGCTACAGTTGAGGAGAGGGGGGAGAGAGGATATGAGTGGTGGTGGCAAGGCATGCAGCACACGTGTGTCCATGCCATGGGTATGCATGGAATGGAACATTGCAGCACATGTGTTGATGCGAAGAGCAGCACCGATACACCGGCCAGAAGTTGCAATCACTTGTGCCGTCAGAAATGGAGGCACCAGAAGCAGAAGCATAAACAAAAGCACAAGGGGGGGTGCAGTGATGCTACTCACATGCGAGGGGGGGCAGGCAGGGCCAGCCTGGGAGGGACGCTCCTCCTCATGCCTCCTCCCCGTGCCACTGCAGCAGCCCGCCCACACGCTCCCATGGACAGTGGTTTCGAGAATCCGGGCTTGCCAGCATGGCGGTGCCACGTGGCAGCCGCCCCGTCAGCGAGTGCCAGCATGGCGTGGCTGGTGAGCTGGCGGCAGCAGTGCAGCCCCAGGCCCTGCAGCAAGGGGCAGTGCGCTGCGAGGGACACCACTGACGCGTCTGATGGGCGCATGGGATGTAGTGGGGGAGGGTGAGGAGGGCGGGAAGGAGAATGCACCAGCGCGTTTTAAATGTGCAATGGGTGCAGGGATGTGGAAAGAAAGGAGGAGAGAATGCTTTGTTTCTATGGAATGTGGTGGGATGGGATGGTCATCGAGGGTCATGGCGCGCTGGTGAGCCTGCGGCAGCAGTGCAGCCAAAGGCCCAAGAGTGATGATGCTTTGTCGCGAGCGGACCATGGTTGGCATGTTGTAGAGGGTCGTGCGTGAAGGAGAAGGGGTGGAGCAGTGGAATGGTGTGGTGAGAGGGGAGGATGATGAAGGATGTGCGAGAACAAGGAGGGGGCGCAAGTGCTGGCCGGTGAAACACCCTGTGCACAGCGCAGATGCCATAGTTGCTGCACCTCAAAACCTGAAGCACCGCATGGGCGCAGAGCACTTGGCTACTCAAGACCCACTCTCCATCCACTTCACGGTCACTGGTGCTCTAGTCGCAACACCTTTTTCTCCTCATCCCACTCCCTCTCTCAATAGGAACACCGCAGGGTGAGGCAGAGAAACATCAGCAGCCTCAGAGGGTCGATCACCACTGCAGGGTGAGCAGAGAGCGGGGCACACACTGGGAGTCGACCCAAATGCCACCCCAAATCCAGAAAGAGGGGCGCACCCGTGATTCGAGTAAATGGCACAGAGGTCCATCACGCTCCGCTTAAAACTGGATAACACCTCCGTGCAGTACTCCCTGACCACACCCATGTGTGAAGAGCACCGTATATCTTTCTAGTTGACTGAAATCTAGGCTCAAAGCGTACCTGTGATGCGGTAGCAGCCACAGAGGTCCACCACCCTGAGCCCCGGGCACCCCCTGACCACAGCCGCGACCCCTCGATCCGAGAAGAACATTACATATTACTATCGTATGTGACTCTTAACGGACTTCAATGCTCACCTGTAATGCGGTAGCAGCCGCACAGGTCCACCACCCTGAGCCCCGGGCACCCCCTGGCCACAGCTGAAACCCCTCGGTCCGTGACGCCCTCACACCACCCCAGATTCACCACCTCTAACCACTTGCACCCCTGCGCCAGCGCCTGGGGGAGAGGGACATAGGAGGACAGCGGAGGGGGGTTGAGGGTGGGTGGGACAGGACAACAGTAATTACACAGCCGTGACCCCTCGGTCCGTGACGCTCTCACACCACCCCAGGTTCACCACCTCCAGCCACTGGCACCCCTGGGATAGCGCCTGGGGGACAGGGATGTAGGAGAAAGGGGGAGGAAAGGAACGGTGCAAAATCCATTGGTGGAAACACTCGTCTGGATGCCACGTGTAGCCACTGGCACCCCTGGGTGAGTGAGAGTGGGGAAAGGTCGTTGGAGAACAGCAAAGGGGGGTTCGGGGTGGGAAGGGACAGTACGATGAAAAAAATCGGGTGAAGTTATCATAAGAGGGGTGTTCCGAGAATTGAACTCGGGACCTCTCGCACCCTAAGCGAGAATCATGCCACTAGACCAAACAGTCAGAGCACACGCACAATGAGAGCATGGTCGGTGGCGGCAAGGCGGCAGCCGCAGAGGGAGAGCTCTGTCAGCTGCGTGCAGTGTGCTGCCAGTGCTGTGATGCCCGCGGGGGAGATGGCGCTGCAGGCACTCAGATCCAACACCTGGAGGGGAAGGGGTTGGAGACAGGCGGAGCAACAGGAGGGGAAACAGAACGAGAGCTCTCTGAGCTGCGCGCAGTGCGCTGCTAGTTCCCATTGAGTCGACTTCAAGGTCACCCGGAGGAATCAGTCGGCGGCGAAAAGGGTGGAAGCGGGACGTGTATGGTAGAGAAATACGCCATGGCGATAGGACGTTGGATGAGGGGAAGGGGAGGCGAAGGGAAGGCAATTGAAGAGAGGGGGAGGAAAGAGATTCTGAAGAAAGAGAAGGGGAGTGGGCAGGCATACCTGCAGCGAGGGGCAGTGGGAGGCGAGTGCGTGCAGTGACGTGTCAGTGATGAGAGGGGAGCCACCGAGGAGCAGACACGTCAGCATGGGTGAGCTGGCGGCGATGGTTGCCAGTGTGGCATCCCTTAGCGATGGACGGCGCCGCAGATTGAGCACCTATGGGGAGGGATGAGGTGGTGTGGGGGAGAGGGAGTGGGAGGGGGGGAAGGAGAAGGAGAAGGAGGAGGAGAATAAAAATTCAGCATTAAGAGTGGGGTTCAAAGCGAGTGCATGGAGAAGGGCGGAGAAGGGGGGTGGTGCAGCAGCAGCAAGGGACGGTGTTGGCAGGGAGAATGGGTGGATGGGGAAGGCCAAGGGGAGGGGGCGTGAGTGATCATGGATATTTCTGCAAGAGTGTGTGAGGTTGTGAATGAGGGTGTGAGCGAGGGGGTGAATGGTGAGCGTGTGCGTGTGTGTGTGTGAGGGTGTGTGTATGTGCGTGTGTGCGCAGGTATGTGTGCCTAAAAAATCACCTGCAGCTGTGCAAAGTGGGGCACGAGGTGAGACACCAGCGAGTTGACGCCCTTGGCACACCTGTGTGGTGTCACGAACAGGTATCCGTCACAGGGGAAGGAAGGTTCGAGTGAGGAAAATGATAGCGCATTGGGATATGCAGGTCGGGCATGGGTTAAGCAACTCCGGCATGGAATAAGCAGCTCGGGACCTCCAAAGTGGGCAACAACAGTGCCTTCAACCACTGGCACGAGTTGACTAAAACATTATAAACACCCACATTCCAAGCGCCTCAGACCACAACACCCACACGTGCACAGCAGCAGGCGCCTCACCAATCGAAGGACAGCTGGGCCGTTAATCCGAAGACAGCAGCAGCCCACCCCCTGCAGACAGCAGCAGCGCTCAGCAGTGTGCGGTTGTCAGTGCGGTCCAGAATGGCCAGCAGCACCTCCCCTGGCACGTCCTTCCAGCCGCCACCGGCGTGCTGCTGTGCTTGACACGTGGCATGGCGCCACGCTGGCGAGCATGCTGAGTCAGCGGTGTCAAAGTTGTGAGCGAGAGGTTGGGGGAGGGAGGAGGAGAGTGAGGAGGAGGAAGATGAGGAGGTTGATGGATAAAGTGAGAGTGTGCTGCTGCCATCGTAACTGCTACTGCTGTCGTTATTCTCCTGTGACGTGGCAAGACGCGATTGGCTGTCCGGGCCAGCCCTAGCAGGACTACTCGGCGCCCCCCAAGCATCAGCAGGGGAGTGAGAAGGGGGCGGGGGGGTTGCGCGGACGAGGTGGGAGTGGCAGAGGGAGTGCGGCGTGGGCGGGTGAAGGAGGATGCCGTGCCTTCTGCGCTGCTGCTGCCTCCGCCACTTGGAGGAGTGCGCGGGGGAGGGGCAGGCGGAGGGGCACGCGGAGGATGGAGAAGTGGAGGGAGCGGATGCGGAGGAAAGGCAGGAACGGGGCGGAGAGGAGGGGGAGGTGGAACTGGACGGGGGCGAGGCGGATGGAGGGGCGAGGGGAGGCGCGGAGTGGGGAGAGGGTGGCGAGGAGGGGCAGTGGGAAGCGTTGCTGGGGCAGAAGAAGAGATCGAGACTGGTGTGGGAGGGGCCACGTGGTGAGGGGCGTGGGGAGGGGCATTGGAAGGGGATGGGGAGACTGGGTTTGAAGGAGGGGAGGGGAGTCCGTGCAGGGACGAGGAGAGCGCCATTGGGGCTGTGGTATGTAATATGACGCTTGATGGTAAGGCGATAGCAGCGCTCACCAGGCGTCGTTCAGTCGCACGCCTCGTTGCTTCATTCGCGACATCAGAAACAGCGCGCACTCCATGTCGCCCGCGTTCGCGCACCATCGCACGGCGTCGCTCACCGCGTCGCTCATCTGAGCCGCCGTTTGTCGCTGCAGTTGCTGCGACGCGTCGCAAAGGGCGTGCGACGCCATGAGAAGGACCGCGAAGCGAGCAGACGAGCGCGGCGAACGAGATGTTCGCTAAGAGACGGTCCGCTAAGAGAGGTTCCGCTAACAAAAATTCCGCTAAGTTCCGCTAAGAGCGTTGCGGACGAACGTTACGGGGGGTGCGAGCGCTGGAGTCTGCACGCGGCGGCAGGTGTACGGGATTGCGCTGGCGCGTTTAACTCGACGAGCAGTCAGAAAGCTGCGTGAGAGGGCGGCGCGGGCGGGGATGGCGGCGAGGGCGGGTGCCGTGTAGTTGCGTGGCTAAGGTGGGTCTTCAGCAGAAGCGACTTTCCATGGACGTTTCTTCCCTGCGTGCCCTCTTTCTCCTCTTCTTGAGCCCGTCCGCTTTCCCCACTGCAGCGCAACAATCACCACAGAGCGTGGCCGAAATGTCTTACCGCTGTGCAGTGTGCACCCATGGCATATCTGCGTGAGGGTTAGTTATGCTTGCTTGCTGGAAATTCCATGATGGGAGCTTGCCTGCTTGCTTGGGCCTCACTTGCAACGAGCAGAGGGGGGCGAGCGAAGGGCATGTGACGGGAGAACAAGGTGCTGCTTACGAGGCGCGCTTACAGAATTGCTCCTGGTTGAATCCACGTGGCGTATCCTTGCTGTGAGAGCTCGTGATGCAATACCATTGGTCTGTTATGGAAGTGACATGGGCTGTGCTGATGCAGCAGCACGCACGGACACTCGTCAAATCCACACTGACCAGTCACGAGCCACTACGAGCGTGTCAGCGACGAGTGGGCGAAAATCGAGGGAAGACGCCCGTGGACGAACCGCCTCGGAGACTCTTGTGGAGGCCGATCCGATATGGTTGCAAGTAGTAAGTACGACGGAATTCAGCAAGTCTTACCCTCACAATGTTGTTGGTTAAAAAGGATAGATTCCAAGTGTTGCTAGGAGTGCATTTGTAATACATATCATGCTAGAAACATGAGTAGCAACTTGCAGTGCTAATATAACTCCCACTCGATGCCCCCGAGCTCACGACCCAGGCCGATGGTGGGCATGAGGTGGCATAGCGGGCTCGGAGCTCTGCTGAGGACGCAGGTGGATGAGGTGCTTGTATCGAGTCATGGCCTCTCTCTGTATCGGGGATAGCCTCCCCTCGAAGATACTGGGGCCTATGAGCAGCTGTAGCTCTGCCACTGCCACACCCGCTGCTGCTGCCACCTCCGGCTGTAGTGGTGGGGGGGACGGAACGAGGAGCATGGAATATGAGCAGGAACAGACGCATGGATGCATGAACGAGTCTGGAGGGGGTGAAATCAAGGCGAGCAGCAAGGGGTGGGGCGAGCAGGGAGCGAGGTGGCAGTGAAACCTGGTGAGAGGCGAGGGCGGTGAAGAGCGGCGGCAGGAAGAGCTCCACGTGCGCCTTGAACTGCCGCTTGCCCATTGGCTGGGAGGGGAAAGGGGAGGTGTATGGGGAGTGGGGGGAACGGAGGAGGGGAGGTGCATGCGGTTGAGAAGGGAGCATGTAGGAGTAGGTGAGCAAGCAAGAGGAGCAGGATGTCTTGATATGAGAGTGTGGTGGGGCATGTGTGAACGCATGATGAGTGGGTAGTGGGCAGTGGACAGAAAGGCTGGGTGCTGGTGGGGGGAGAAGGGGGCGGGAGTGACCTTGGCGATGCGGGGCAGGTGGCGCATTATGGTGACCAGGAGGGCTGGGTGGGCTGCTGCTGCTGGTGAACCCGCCTGGTGGATGTTGGGTGCGGTGGGGATGGGTTGAGAGGGGTGGCATGGCATGGCATGGAAAACAGGACATGAGTGGCAGCACGAAGGTGTGCTGTGTGCAATGCAAAATCCCAAGGGTGAGGGCAGAGGGCAAGGGGGCACACAGACCATGTGGGCAAGGGTCGGTAGGAACTCCCCCACCGCAGAGGGGGCAGCGGCGGCAAGGAAACATGATGTGTATAATACAATGAAGTGCAGTGGTGAGGGTGGGGGGCGAGGGGCACACATACCAGTTGTGCGAGGGTCGGTAGGAACTCCCCCACAACAGACGGGGCAGCGGCAGCGAGGAAGGGGAGCAGCTGCACCGCCCCCTCTGACTGCTCCCATGGCTCTGCTGTGGGCGCATGGTGGCATGTGCACGGGGCAGCGGGGGCAGCAGGAGCAGCAGAAGCAGCGGCATCAGGGGCAGCAGTGGCAGCAGGGGCAATAGTGGCAGGGGCAGCAGGAGAAGAGGCGGAGGCAGAGTCGGAGGTGGAGGCGGAGGCGGAGGCGTTGACTCGCACGGGCTCGAAGATGAACTTCTGCGGGTGAGGTGCAGGGATGGGCATGGGCATGGGGGGAAGAATGGAGTACGGGGTTGGCATGGGGTGGGGTGCCATGTGGTGGCGTGGGGAGGCATGGAGTGGTATGGGCATGGCAAGAGAAAGTGTGGCTTGGCGGAGCAGGCAGTGAGGCATGGAGGAGAAAGGAGAGACGGTGCTGGGAGAGGAGTGCGTACCGAGTCAAGGGACGAGGGGCGTGCTGTGTCCGGTGGTGTTGAGGGGTCTCTGCTTGAAAGGGGGAGAGACGAGACGGGATGGAAGCATGGGGAAGAAAGTGAGGGAAGAGAGATGAACCGAAGGATGACAGAGAGTGGACGAGTGGACGTACAGTGGGGAAGACAGGATGCGGTGTTGAGAGTTGATTGGCAATACAAGACAGCTCCGCGTGCAGTGCCAAGGGCAGTGGCAAGTACGGCAGGAGGGGCAGCACGGACCTGAGGGAGATGCGCACAGCCTGCAGCCCACCTGAGGGAGATGCGCACAGCCTGCAGCCCACCTGAGGGAGATGCGCACAGCCTGCAGCCCACCTGAGGGAGATGCGCACAGCCTGCAGCCCACCTGAGGGAGATGCGCACAGCCTGCAGCCCACCTGAGGGAGATGCGCACAGCCTGCAGCCCACCTGAGGGAGATGCGCACAGCCTGCAGCCCACCTGAGGGAGATGCGCACAGCCTGCAGCCCACCTGAGGGAGATGCGCACAGCCTGCAGCCCACCTGAGGGAGATGCGCACAGCCTGCAGCCCACCTGAGGGAGATGCGCACAGCCTGCAGCCCACCTGAGGGAGATGCGCACAGCCTGCAGCCCACCTGAGGGAGATGCGCACAGCCTGCAGCCCACCTGAGGGAGATGCGCACAGCCTGCAGCCCACCTGAGGGAGATGCGCACAGCCTGCAGCCCACCTGAGGGAGATGCGCACAGCCTGCAGCCCACCTGAGGGAGATGCGCACAGCCTGCAGCCCACCTGAGGGAGATGCGCACAGCCTGCAGCCCACCTGAGGGAGATGCGCACAGCCTGCAGCCCACCTGAGGGAGATGCGCACAGCCTGCAGCCCACCTGAGGGAGATGCGCACAGCCTGCAGCCCACCTGAGGGAGATGCGCACAGCCTGCAGCCCACCTGAGGGAGATGCGCACAGCCTGCAGCCCACCTGAGGGAGATGCGCACAGCCTGCAGCCCACCTGAGGGAGATGCGCACAGCCTGCAGCCCACCTGAGGGAGATGCGCACAGCCTGCAGCCCACCTGAGGGAGATGCGCACAGCCTGCAGCCCACCTGAGGGAGATGCGCACAGCCTGCAGCCCACCTGAGGGAGATGCGCACAGCCTGCAGCCCACCTGAGGGAGATGCGCACAGCCTGCAGCCCACCTGAGGGAGATGCGCACAGCCTGCAGCCCACCTGAGGGAGATGCGCACAGCCTGCAGCCCACCTGAGGGAGATGCGCACAGCCTGCAGCCCACCTGAGGGAGATGCGCACAGCCTGCAGCCCACCTGAGGGAGATGCGCACAGCCTGCAGCCCACCTGAGGGAGATGCGCACAGCCTGCAGCCCACCTGAGGGAGATGCGCACAGCCTGCAGCCCACCTGAGGGAGATGCGCACAGCCTGCAGCCCACCTGAGGGAGATGCGCACAGCCTGCAGCCCACCTGAGGGAGATGCGCACAGCCTGCAGCCCACCTGAGGGAGATGCGCACAGCCTGCAGCCCACCTGAGGGAGATGCGCACAGCCTGCAGCCCACCTGAGGGAGATGCGCACAGCCTGCAGCCCACCTGAGGGAGATGCGCACAGCCTGCAGCCCACCTGAGGGAGATGCGCACAGCCTGCAGCCCACCTGAGGGAGATGCGCACAGCCTGCAGCCCACCTGAGGGAGATGCGCACAGCCTGCAGCCCACCTGAGGGAGATGCGCACAGCCTGCAGCCCACCTGAGGGAGATGCGCACAGCCTGCAGCCCACCTGAGGGAGATGCGCACAGCCTGCAGCCCACCTGAGGGAGATGCGCACAGCCTGCAGCCCACCTGAGGGAGATGCGCACAGCCTGCAGCCCACCTGAGGGAGATGCGCACAGCCTGCAGCCCACCTGAGGGAGATGCGCACAGCCTGCAGCCCACCTGAGGGAGATGCGCACAGCCTGCAGCCCACCTGAGGGAGATGCGCACAGCCTGCAGCCCACCTGAGGGAGATGCGCACAGCCTGCAGCCCACCTGAGGGAGATGCGCACAGCCTGCAGCCCACCTGAGGGAGATGCGCACAGCCTGCAGCCCACCTGAGGGAGATGCGCACAGCCTGCAGCCCACCTGAGGGAGATGCGCACAGCCTGCAGCCCACCTGAGGGAGATGCGCACAGCCTGCAGCCCACCTGAGGGAGATGCGCACAGCCTGCAGCCCACCTGAGGGAGATGCGCACAGCCTGCAGCCCACCTGAGGGAGATGCGCACAGCCTGCAGCCCACCTGAGGGAGATGCGCACAGCCTGCAGCCCACCTGAGGGAGATGCGCACAGCCTGCAGCCCACCTGAGGGAGATGCGCACAGCCTGCAGCCCACCTGAGGGAGATGCGCACAGCCTGCAGCCCACCTGAGGGAGATGCGCACAGCCTGCAGCCCACCTGAGGGAGATGCGCACAGCCTGCAGCCCACCTGAGGGAGATGCGCACAGCCTGCAGCCCACCTGAGGGAGATGCGCACAGCCTGCAGCCCACCTGAGGGAGATGCGCACAGCCTGCAGCCCACCTGAGGGAGATGCGCACAGCCTGCAGCCCACCTGAGGGAGATGCGCACAGCCTGCAGCCCACCTGAGGGAGATGCGCACAGCCTGCAGCCCACCTGAGGGAGATGCGCACAGCCTGCACTGCAGCCCACCTGAGGGAGATGCGCACAGCCTGCAGCCCACCTGAGGGAGATGCGCACAGCCTGCAGCCCACCTGAGGGAGATGCGCACAGCCTGCAGCCCACCTGAGGGAGATGCGCACAGCCTGCAGCCCACCTGAGGGAGATGCGCACAGCCTGCAGCCCACCTGAGGGAGATGCGCACAGCCTGCAGCCCACCTGAGGGAGATGCGCACAGCCTGCAGCCCACCTGAGGGAGATGCGCACAGCCTGCAGCCCACCTGAGGGAGATGCGCACAGCCTGCAGCCCACCTGAGGGAGATGCGCACAGCCTGCAGCCCACCTGAGGGAGATGCGCACAGCCTGCAGCCCACCTGAGGGAGATGCGCACTGCAGCCCACCTGAGGGAGATGCGCACAGCCTGCAGCCCTGGTGCCGACGCTGCTGCAGCGGTAGGAGGAGGCGGAGGATGCGCGGGGTGGGGGTGATGGTGGGGGTGGTGGGTGGAGGCGGAGCAGGAGTGGGAGGCGGCAGGGCAGCAGGCGGAGGGGGGGCCAGAGGCGGAGGTAGGGGCGGGTGGGTGAGTGTGTGCGTGTGAGTGTGGGGTGGGGGAGGAGAGGGCAGCAGGCAGCAGGGTGTGGAGCGCGTCTTGAGTGATCTGAGGGGCGAGGAGGGGAGAGAGGAGTGAGAGAGAGTTTTGAAACGTCTCAAACTGCGGAGGTGACTTTGAGTCGAACCAAAGCATGTGAACCGTCTCAAAGCATGTGAACGGTCTGAAAGCATGTGAGAGTATAGCGAATTGCACGGGGATAACAGGGAGCAGGAGTCAACACACATGCCATGTTGGCAAGATACAATGTGGTGCCACCACCATGCCATCCTGACACCATCATACATGTGCCATGCGACCCATGCCTGTCTGATCCCCCTTTTACCTGCAGCGCCTTGCCCTGTGTCTCCCTGGTGGTGAGCGCCGCCCCTATGAGCGCCGCCGCATGCTGCCTCACCGCCGGGATCACTGCCGCATGGTGAAAGGGCGGTCGGTGGTGGTCGCAGGGTGCATGGTCGCAGTGGTAGAAAAAAAACGGAACAAGCGGAGTAGATTGGCTAAGGGCAGAGCAATGGAGAGTGGAGGGGATGAGGGGGACGAGTGACGGCGTGCAATGTGTGGGTGGGACAGGACGCACCGTCTGTGAGGTTGGCAAGCCAGGTTGGTGCCCACGTGGCAATGTGTTGTGCTGCCACGTCACCATAATGCTCCACCACGCCGGCACTCGCTGGTGGCGTGGGCGGCGAAGAGGAGAGACAGTGGGGACAGAGATAAAGAGACGGTGGGGACAGAGGTGTGATTTGAAGGGGAGAAAGAGGGAACGGCGGAGGCACAGCAGTGTTGGGCGAAGGATGAAGGGCGCGAGTGGGAAGAAGTGGGCTGAATTGAAAGTGGAGCGATGTGCATGGGCAGGGGGGTGTGCAGCCAAGAGCACGGAAGGGGCCGCAGAGGGCAGGGGAAGGAGGGGCACCTGAGCAGGCGGCACAGCGCACGGGCCACACAGGGTCGGAGTGGCAGCGGAGGAGGCTCGGCAGCAGGTCCGGCAGCACTGGTAGCACCACCTGGTACCGTGGAGGGTGGGTTTGGGGAGGGGGTGGGGGTGGGGGTGGGGGAGGGTTTGAGGGTGGGAGTGGGGACAGAGGGAGCAGGATGAAGAGTGCGCGGGGGCAGAGGTAGGGAAGGGCTGAAAAAACCAGCAGGGGAATTGAGTGCAGTGCGGTGAGTGTGAGAGAGAGCAGCATTGCAATGCTGTACCAGCAGTAGCGGCAGCCCATACCAGTTGCTGTGCTTCCCAGTCGTCACCCGGTTGCCCCACCTGCCCCTCCACCCGCCACTCCCCTCCCCCCCGTACAATCTCACCGGCCTGTCAATCTTGGCAGCCACCTCAGCAATGCAGAAGCACGCCGTCTGATGGCACGGGTGGGGTGGGGTGGGGGAAGGCGTGGAGAGAGGGGTGGGGAGCGGTGCGCAGGGAGGGTATTGTGTTACTGGCCTAGCCAGTGCTATTCCATTTGCTGCACATACGATATCGGTTGGAAAGTGGCAGAGCAAGGGATATACGAGATTGTGTGATGCTCACTGCATTGTGTGAGTGAACGCCACGTGCCACATGCAACATGCCCCACACCACTCGGCCCATGCCCCATGCCCCACGCCCCATGCACCTCCCTCAGAGCGCACCTCTCGCACGAGGTAGTTCTGGGCGCGCGCCTGCAGGCAGTAGAAGGCCGCCACCAGCGCCATGTGCTGCGCCACTGCCGCCCGCCCGCCCCCGCCCATCACGCGCTGCCACGTGTCCTGCGAGTATATGCGCACCCCGTCCGCCCCATAGTAGCGGTTGAACACCCTGGAGGGAAGGGGTAGGGGAGGGGAAATGGGAGACGGAGGGGAGAGTGGGTCGAGGGGGTGGGGAGAGGGAGGGAGGAGGGGGGTTATACTATGAGGGATTGGGTATGGAGCACAGTGCGAGTAGATGCGCACCCTGTCCGTCCGCCCCATAGTCGCCGTTCAAAACCCTGGCGGGAGCAGGGGGAGAGGGAGGGGAGGAAGGGAGCAGGGGGAGTGGAGACTGGTGTGTTATGGGTGGTGATGGTGTGGCATGGTATGTGATGGTGGTGGTGCGGCATGGTATGTGATGGTGGTATGGCATGTGGCATGGTGGCATGGTGGAGTGGCATGGCGGGCAGCAGGTGGCTCACATGGCGGGCAGCAGGGTGGGCAGGTAGCGCTCCTTGTGATGCACCGCGCCCGCTGACAGGAAGAAGGCACGGTTGCCCACCGACGCCGCTGGGTCGAGGTGGGGGAAGGGGAGAGGGGAGAAGGGGAGGAGGGGATGAGGCGATGAGATCAAGGGACGCACTGAGGGAGGTGGAGGGGCAGAAGCAGAGTGGAAAGAGTCTTGGCTGGTGTTACCGCACTGCACCTCACAGCCCTGCAAATTGCCACAATGCAGCTAACCGCTCTGCATCTAACCGCTCTGCTTCTAACCGCTCTGCAGCTAACCGCTCTGCATCTAACCGCTCTGCATCCAACCGCTCTGCATCTAACCACTCTGCATCTAACCGCTCTGCATCTAACCGCTCTGCATCTAACCGCTCTGCATCTAACCGCTCTGCATCTAACCGCTCTGCACCTCACCGTATCTGACTTGGCTCCAGTTGTCCCCCAGCCCCACAGCGAGCTGAGAGGCGATGGTCTCCCCCAAACTGCACAGGGCACATGAGAGAGCAAGAGAAGGGAGAGCGGCAGTGGAGGCAGAGGTGGGAGAGGGGGCAGAGAATGCAGAGGAGGCCAGAAGCGAGCCGATTCATAAAGGCAGTGGAGGCAGGTGGGAAAAAAGCAGATGGCAGAAGGGAGAAGGGAGAAGGGCGAAGGGAGAAGGGAGAAGGGAGAAGGGAGAAGGGAGAAGGGAGAAGGGAGAAGGGAGAAGGGAGAAGGGAGAAGGGAGAAGGGAGAAGGGAGAAGGGAGAAGGGCGAAAGGAGAAGAGAGAAGGGAGAAGGGAGAAGGGAGAAGGGCGAAAGGAGAAGAGAGAAGGGCGACGGCAGAATGCAGATGGGAAAAGCAAGTTGGAAGAAGCGATCCATACGGAAAACAGTGTGAATGGATCAGGAAAGAGCGTGGCAGGTGCGGGCAGAGCAGGAGCATGGGCTGAGGCATGTACGGGCTGAAGCATGGCCACAAGCATGACCGACCCGCTGAGCTGCCAGCGCACCTGGTAAGCTGCGTGGCTCCCATGACGTGGCACAGAGCAGCAAGGGCAAACATGGCGGCCTCCCGCACAAAGCGGTTGCCGTGCCGCACCACCATCCCCACCACCTCCACCGTGCCCCCACTCATCTCCCCCACCGCCTCCTCCCACTCCCCCTCCCCTTTCGCCTCCCCCTTCCCCTCTTCCTCCCTCCCTCCCCCCCCTGACTCTCTCCCCTTGCCAACCACGCCTCTCCCCCCCGGCCGCTCCCCCAGCCCATCCAGCAGGCGCTGCAGCGAGCGCAGTGCCGTCTCTAGACTGCGCCCACGGGCCTGGTGGGGGAAGCAAGGGGGTGAGGAGAAAGGAGGTGTGGGTGGGAAGATGGTGAAAAAGAGTGGGAAACGTGAGGCACGAGGCACAGGGAGGCAGGCAGGTGGCAAGGCGTGGAGCGCACAGGCAGCGCAAGACTGGAGCAGCGGCCGAGGTAGCAGAGGCAGCAGTGGATTCGATTCAGCTGTACGCCCACAGCTTGCCACTACTGTGCCCGCATGCCCACATGTAAGCATGCGTTCATCCCCACTTTCCCACCCACCCGCCTGCCTACCCGCCTGCCTACCCACCTACCTGCCTGCCCACCTGCCCACCCACCTGCCTCCCTCCCGCCCTACCGCTATCATCAAGTCGGTCGCTGTCTGCCGCGAGCTTGCCCTCCCTCCTCCCCCACCCACTCCCCTCACCCGCTCCCCCCACCCGCTCCCCCCACCCGCCTGCCTACCCATGTGCCCACCTGCCTCTCTCCCTACCGCCATCATCAAGCCAGTCGCTGTCTGCCGCGAGCTTGCCCTCCCTCCTCCCCCACCCACTCCCCCCACCCGCTCCCCCCACCCGCTCCCCCCACCCGCTCCCCCCACCCGCCTGCCTACCCATGTGCCCACCTGCCTCTCTCCCTACCGCCATCATCAAGCCAGTCGCTGTCTGCCGCGAGCTTGCCCTCCCTCCTCCCCCACCCACTCCCCCCACCCGCTCCCCCCACCCGCTCCCCCCATCCGCTCCCCCCACCCGCCTGCCTACCCATGTGCCCACCTGCCTCTCTCCCTACCGCCATCATCAAGCCAGTCGCTGTCTGCCGCGAGCTTGCCCTCCCTCCTCCCCCGCCCCGCCCCCCCCACTCCCTCAGCACCCCCCCGCCTGCCCATGGCCGCTGCCAGCCCTGCCTGGTCCGCCCGGGGGGAACTGGGCGCATCCCCCATCCCCTCGCTCCCCTCCCCCCCTTCCCCCGCCACTCCCCCTTCCGCGCCCTCCTGCGCCCCCTCCCCTTGCTGCGCCCCCAAGGCTGCCTGCCTGCTTCCCTTTTCCCCTGCCCCATCCCCCTTCTCCCCGGCCTCCCCCTCCCCGTCGCCCTCCTCCTGCCCTTCCAGAAGCGCTGGCAGCGGCTGCTGCTGCTGCAGTGTGCGCATGATGTGGGCCTTCACGGCCCTGAGAGGGGAGGCGGACAGTGGCAGGACGGTGGGGGTTGGGGGGAAGGACGAAGAAGGAATAAGGGAAGAGAGAGGACAGGGAAGGCATGTGCCCTCCTCCTGCCCTTCCAGCAGCGCCGGCAGTGGTTGCTGCTGCTGCAGTGTTCGCATGATGTGCGCCTTCACGGCCCTGAGGGGGGAAGAGGGAGGGGAAGGGGGAGGCGAGAGGAGATTCACGCGTGCTGATGAGGCCAACCAAGGGGATGCTGGCGGTGTGTGGCATGGGTGGCGAACACATAACAAGGGATGAGAGCGGGTGAGAGGAGGCCTGACGAGGGCGAGTCAAGGGGATGATGGGCGGGGTGTTGCATGGCGGGTTGTGGTATGATGAACGAAAACAAGAGAAGAGGGCAGAGCGGGGGAGGGGCGACCTGAAGAGGGCGAGGGCGGCGGGCAGCGACCCGTAGTGTGCCAGGGCGCATAGTGCCTCCGCTGCTGCCAGCCTGGCACGCACACACACAGAGATGGGAGAATAGGTGATGGGGAAGAGGGAATCGCAAAGCGCCTCCGCTGCAGCGACCCGTAGCGCGCCAGGGCACAGAGCGCCTCCGCTGCTGCCAGCCTAGCACGCGCACACACACACACACACAGAGGGGCGAGCGAGCAGGTGATGGGGAAGAGGTGGAGGGGCAGGCAGGGCGTGTGTGGGAGAAGAAACAGGACATGAGTGGTCGTGAGTGTCCAGCAATGATGCTCATGCTGATGCTGATGCTGATGCTCATGCTGATGCTCATGCTCATGCTGATGCTGATGCTGATGCTGATGCTGATGCTGATGCTGATGCTGATGCTGATGCTGATGCGCTGATGCTGATGCTGATGCTGATGCTGATGCTGATGCTGATGCTGATGCTGATGCGCTGATGCTGATGCTGATGCTGATGCTGATGCGCATGCTGATGCGCTGATGCGCATGCTGATGCTGATGCTGATGCTGATGCTGATGCTGATGCTGATGCGCTGATGCTGATGCTGATGCTGATGCTGATGCTGATGCTGATGCTGATGCTGATGCGCATGCGCTGATGCTGATGCTGATGCGCTAATGCTGATGCTGATGCTGATGCTGATGCTGATGCGCTAATGCTGATGCTGATGCTGATGCTGATGCTGATGCGCTGATGCTGACGCTGATGCTGATGCTGATGCTGATGCTGATGCTGATGCTGATGCTGATGCTGATGCTGATGCTGATGATGAGCATGCATGCGTGCATGCATGAATGTGTGCGGTGCACATGGTACAAGCATGGACCTCACCTTCCTCTCCACCACCCCTCTCACCTCCCCACCTGCTCACTCGTTTCGACTCACACCTCACCCCATGACTCCCAACCTCCTTGGATTCTCATCTCTTTTCCCCTTCCTGCCTCCCCGCCTGACTCGAGGCTCCTCATCATCCATGTGCCTCAGCACAGCCTCCCCCTCTGCTCCGTCCCCACTCACACCTCGCTCCCCACCTGACTCGCTCCACCCCCTTCCCCACCTGACTCGCTCCACCCCCTTCCCCACCTGACTCGCTCCACCCCCTTCCCACCTGACTCGCTCCCCCTCCTCCCCACCTGACTCGAGGCTCCTCATCATCCATGTGCCTCAGGGCTGCCTCCCCCGCTCCGCTGCAAAACGCCGCCACACTTTCCCCTTTCCCGCTCCCCTGCCCAGCGCCCTCGCCCCCTGCAGTGCACGGCTCCTCGCTGCCGAGCTGCACACGTTGCTCCCCCTGTGCGCCCACCACTCTGCTCCAATGCCGCAGCAGCACCTGCCATGCGTGCGGGGGTGGTGCAAGAGAGGGAAGCAAGGTTGGGGCAAGCTTGTTGTGTGCCGACCCCATCCCCATTACCATGCCCAGCGCCCAGCCCAACCCAGCCCAGCCCAGCCCAACCCAGCCCAGCCCAGCCCAGCCCAGCCCAGCCCAGCCCAGCCCAGCCCAGCCCGCCATACCTCGGCCCCCAGAAAGCCCCCATGCCGTGCACTCCACCCGCCACCCACGCTGCTGCCGCTGCTGCCACTTCCGCCACCCCCACTTGCACTGCCTCCCCCTTCCTCTGACCCCTGCGCCCCACGCCCTGCGCTCCCTGCCTCTTCCCCCTCCCCTTCCCCCGCCCCCGTCCCCCCCTCCGCCCCCGCGTCCCCCCGCCCCTGCATGGCGAGCAGGCGCGCGCTCACTGCCTCCATGCGCCTGCCCGCGCCGTCACTGTCGCTCGCCACTCCTGGGGGCGAATGGGGGAACGGGGGAGAGGGGGAATGGGGGAAGGCGGAATGGCGGGAATTGAGGAGGGGGGCGGTGAGAGCGGGAGGCGGTGGGGAGAGGATGGAGCGCGACGGGGACAGATAGACGGGCGGAAGGGAAGGAAGCGGGATGCCGAAGGGAGAGGGCGGTGGGGGCGAAGAAGCGAGGGAGTGGCGGAGGCAGAAGTAGTGGGGAATGCGGGGATGTGCGGAGCGCGCAGTTGGGAATGGCGGGTGAGGCAAGGGGTCGGCGAACGGGCGGGAGAAGAGCGGGCAGCGGGCGTCACGCGCACCGGCGAGGAGCGCGTCGAGTGCTGTGAGCCCATTGGCTCGCTCCAGCGCCGTTCTATCCGCCAGCTGCCGCGCCACGCGCGCCACCTCGCCGCGCCACGCCGCCATCGCCGCCGCCGACTCCGCCGCTCCCGCCGCGTCCATGGCGATCACGAGAGGTGCCGCGACGCCACGTCACGGCGCCGCAACACGCGCCGCCCGAGCTTACTTGTGAAGCGCCTCGAGGCTCTGCCGTGGATGGTCGGTGCTCAAAAGGAAGCGTGCAACGCGATTTGGGAAGCCGGGGGAGCGTCGAGTAATCCTAAAGCCGGAAAGGTGGAGCGCAATGTCTTCTTTTAGCGAATTTTTCTAGTGCCGAGCTCCAACACGGCTCATTCGCCAATGAGCAGGGTGGTTTGCTTGGGGCAAGGAGGTATGCAATACCATTTCAGGGTTCACATGAATTCATTCACGGTTCAAAGCGGTGTAGGGGAACTAACCGCTTTCGATATTGAATCAATTGAGCTCTTACTGATGATTTTCGGTTGTACAGTGAACCGTAAAACCCTGTGCCATGCGGCACACCCGCATTGGTGCTGATTGGAAAGCCGTCGCCGCTATCGGCAACATCCAAGTAGAGAGCGTGGGGCACAAGCACGGCATACAGCACTAGCATTGAGCCAGCATCCAGAACAGTGCCTGTGTCGGGACGCCGATCAGCACACGCACAACGATTATTAGTCGCCTAGGAGCCTCCCGCACGAATCAGCTGCGTGCGATCCGCGTTCACCTGCTGGACTTCCGCGCGTTCCGCGTCCGGCGTTCCGCTTCCGCCCGTTCCGCTTCCGCGGCGACGCAGCGCGATCGCAGTGCCAGCCATGGCGGGCCTCCTCGCGCAGCCTGCGCGCGTAACGCGGGTGGCCGTCCCCGCGTCCTCTCCGCTAGCATCCCCCGCCTTCATTTCCCCTAGTCGCTTTTCTGCAGCCGCTCACGGCCGGATAGCGGCGCGGCAGCGCAAGTCTCTGGCCGTTAGAGGTACGGAGAGGAGCGAACGGGATTCCGTGACCGTTGTGCGGCGTAGCGCGTACGCGCGCGGATGCTTTGGCGCTCAAGGCATGCGCGCTGTCCGCTTGGGCGAGAGTGTGGCAGGAATAGAAGTGAACGGCTGTTCATCCGCTTCGGGTCGCTTCTTCCCGCCGTGTTTGTCACTGTTTTCGTCTTTCCTTCCGCCTCCTCCCTGCCTTACACCCGCCTCGATCTCCCTTGCGTTCTTGACTGTTTGCCCCGCCTGATTGGCTGAGAGACAGCAGCAGCGGCGGGCGAGGCGAGTGGCGACGGCGACAATGTGGTAACCCTGCTGGACTACGGCGCGGGGAACGTGCGAAGCGTGCGAAACGCCATTCGCCTGTTGGGCTACGAGATCAACGACGTGAGTGGCGAGGATGGAGTATCCTCCCGGCAGGATACGTGCAGAGGGTTCTAATCTTCGGGTCTTCTGCTTCTGCGAGTGGGATGACGGCCGTAGGGTGGGCCCCAAATCACTCATTCCGGCAGCTCTGACCCACTAAACCGACCGTCTCATTCCCGCGCATCCCTCACCTCCCCCATGCCTCCGCCCTTCCCTCACCCACCATTCTCCCGCTTTTTCCCCGCCTACCTTCCCCGCCTCCCCCCGCGAATCCATCCTGGCAGCGAAGAAGCTCATCGTCCCATTCCCCTCCTTCACCGTCCGCTCACCCCTCTCATCCCCCACCTTCTCCCCCTTCCCTCCCTCCCGTCTTACCAGGTGAGCGAGCCAGAGGACATCCTGGCAGCCAAGAAGCTCATCTTCCCACCCCCCTTCTTCACTCTCCCCTTACCCCACCCATTGCCATCCCTCCCCCCTCCCACCCTCCCGTCTCACCAGGTGAGCGAGCCAGAGGACATCCTGGCAGCCAAGAAGCTCATCTTCCCACCCCCCTTCTTCACTCTCCCCTTACCCCACCCATTGCCATCCCTCCCCCCTCCCACCCTCCCGTCTCACCAGGTGAGCGAGCCAGAGGACATCCTGGCAGCCAAGAAGCTCATCTTCCCGGGCGTGGGGGCGTTTAGAGCCGCCATGGAAGTTCTGAACGAGAGAGGGTAAGGGGGGTGATGGTATTGGGGGGTCGGGTCGGCAATGGGGCGGGCGTGGGCGTGGGCGCCCGCCCATTGCCCAGTACGTGGCGTTGGACCGCCCCTTCCTCGGCATTTGCCTGGGACAGACAGTCCATCCCATATCCCACTGCTCTACACTCACACGCACCCACCCGTCCCTCCCCTCCCCCTACTCCCCTTCTCCCTTCCCAGCCTCGCAGACGCCATCCGCAAGTGCGTAGCGTTGGACCGCCCCTTCCTCGGCATCTTCTCCTTCCGTCCCCACATTCCCCCTTCTCTCCCCGCTTCCCCCCCGCCACTTCCAGGCTTGCGGACGCCATCCGCCAGTAGTGCGTGGCGCTCGACCGCCCCTTCCTTGGCATTTGCCTGGGCTGGGACCGCCCATCCCCTTCCCCACCTCCTCTACACCCCTCTTTTACACTCCCCCTCCCTGCTCTTTATCCCTCTTCACATGCCAGGCTTGCGGGCGCCATCCGCCAGTACGTGGCGTTGGACTGCCCCTTCCTCCGCATCTGCCTGGGCCTGCAGCTGCTGTTCCCCATTCCCACATTCCCCCTTCTCTCCCTCTCTGCCCCGTTCCCCCAGCCTGGCAGACGCCATTCGCCAGTACGTGGCGTTGGACCGCCCCTTCCTGGGCATCTGCCTGGGCCTGCAGTTGCTCTTCGATGGCAGCCAGGAGTTTGGCGATGGTGAGTGAGAGGGCATGGGGGCGGGGGGTAGTGGGTGCATGGAGGATGGGTAGGTAACTGGTATCAGCCGTAGAATCGCCCCTTCCTGGGCATCTGCCTGGGCCTGCAGCTGCTCTTCCACGGCAGCCAGGAGTTTGGCGATGGTGAGAGATGGAGGGTGGGGTGAGGAATGGATGACGGATGGTGGGGGCATGGGGGATGGGGGAATGGGTAACCAGCGGGGGATAGGATAGGTAGTGAGAAGAGAGGAGGTACAGCCCCATCCCATGTGCGGGGCGCTGCAGCTGCTGTGTGAGGGAGAGCGGACGAGGGAGGGGATAGGAGACGGTTGAAGCAATGGGAGGGAGGTAGGAAGGATAGAATGCGTGTTGTTGTTCCTGCCATGCCCCATGCCCTCTATCATTCTGTGTCCCTCACCTCACCGTCACTCACTCACCCCCCTTCTCCCCTTCCTCGCCAACTCCCCCTCCTCCTCCTCGCCTCCTCCCCTTCTCCCCCTCTCCCACTCGCCACCCCCCTTCCCCCCTCCTCAAGAACCCCCTTTCCCTCTCCCCCCTTCTTCACCCACCTGCTGCTCCCCCTTCCCTCCCCCTTACAGTGGAGGGCCTGGGCATCATTTTCGGCACCGTGTCCCAATTCGATGCATCCAAGGGACTTAACCCCCATCTCTTCCCCTCTCCCCCCCTCCCCATGTCCCCCTCCCAACTCCCAGTGGAGGGGCTGGGAATAATCCCTGGCACTGTGTCCCGATTCGATGCATCCAAGGGGCTCACCGTGCCACAGATTGGGTGGAACGGGCTGGAGATTGTGCAATCTGAGCCGTCCATTCTGGATGGCGTGAATGGGCGCCATGTGTACTTTGTGCACTCGTACCGAGCCACTCAGGTGCGGGGCAGCGTAGCTTAGGAGCCACTCAGGTGCGGGGCAGCGTAGCTTAGGAGCCACTCAGGTGCGTGTGAGGCAGCCTAGGCTAGGAGCCACTCAGGTGAAGCCTATCCCCCCCCCCCTCCTCCCAGCAGCAGTGCAGCCTAGGTTGCACTAGAGGTTAAGGTCAAGAATAAGGTTGCCGTGCAGTGCAGTGCAGTGCAGTGCAGTGCAGTGCAGTGCAGTGCAGTGCAGTGCAGGTTAAGGGCTCACTCACAGCCTGGGCTAGAGGCCAGTCTGGTGCAGCCTGGGCGAGGGGCCACATACCATAGGTATGGTACCTTCCCTACATATACCCACCTCCTCACCTCACCCTTCCCTCCTTCCTCCCTTTCCCCCTCCCCATCTCACCCCCCAGACCCCTGCGAACAGCGAGTGGGTGCTGGCGACGGCCAACTATGGCGAGCCGTACGTGGCGGCAGTGAGGAAGGGCAACGTGCAGGCCGTGCAGTTCCACCCGGAGAAGTCGGGCGGTGAGTGGTGAGGGGAATGGGGAGAGAGGGGATTTAGAAGTGGGGAGAGGAGAGTGAGAACTTGGGAAGTGAGCGGTGAGGGGTGAGGAAGGGCAACGTGCAGGCCGTGCAATTCCACCCGGAGAAGTCGGGCGGTGAGTGGTGAGGGGAAAGGGAGAGAGGAGTTAGAAGCGGGCAGAGGAGACGGGAGTGGTGAGTGCAGGTTAGCATGCAGTGGGCAGTAGGTAGTGAGGAAGGGCAACGTGCAGGCCGTGCAATTCCACTTTGAGAAATCAGGAGGTGAGGCGTGAAGGGAGTGGGGTGGGGAGTGGGGAGTGGAGAGAGGAAAGTGGGGAGAAGGGATAAGAGCAGGGAGAGGGAAAATGAGAGTGTGGAGTTACAAGTGGGCAGAGGAGAGTGGTCATTCAGGGGGCCCGTCCTGCTTCCCACGCCACCATCCAAACCCCTTTCCCCCCTCCTCCCCTCTCTTTCCCCTCTCTCCCCGCTTCGCTTCCCCCACTTTCCCCGCCTCTCTCCACGTCTCTCTCCTCTCCCCTCCCTCCCCTCCCCCTCGTCGCCCCCCTTTCTCTCGCCCCCCATGCCAGTGGTGGGCTTGGACATCCTGCGTCGCTTCCTCGGCCCCAACAGGAGCCAGCAGGCCAACGTGCGTGCTCCCTTTGCCCTCTCCCCTCGCTGCCCCTCCTGCCCTCTCCGCCCTCTCCGCCCTATCCGCCCTCCCTGCCGTGCCTCCCTGCCCGCCCTGCCCGCCCTGCCCTCTCTGAACGTTTGGGCCGGCGGAAGTCGCTCGCTGGCAGGCTGTCTTAGCTTAGATCTGCATCTTCCACTCCTGCTCATTCCACCTCTTTCTACCCACTGCATGTGCCTCACTGCACTACCTATGTTCAGACTGGTTTCCACATCGATTGATTTCAGCACAGCATGACTTAGCACGGGCATCGTGTGCCATGCCACATCCTCTTGGATTACACCCCACTCCATCTCCCACCGCACCCCATCCCACCCCTCCCACCTCCACCAGGACGTAGAGGATGCATGCAGCAAGCCCCTGAGGGGCCCTCGAGCCACACAGCTGGCGAAGCGCGTGATCGCATGCTTGGACGTGCGCGCCAACGACCGGGGGGACCTGGTGGTGACCAAGGGCGACCAGTATGACGTGCGGGAGCAGGGCGACGAGAGGGAGGTGAGGAGGAAGAATTGGGGGAAGGTGATGGGGCGAGGGTGCTTATGCAGTCTGTCGTGTGTGCGCTAATGGGGACCTGGTGGTGACCAAGGGGGACCAGTATGACGTGCGGGAGCAGGGCGATGAGCGGGAGGTGCGGAGGAGGTTGGGAAGGGGGGGGGAAGGTATGGGTATTCATCATCACACCTGGTGGTCACCACGGGGGATCAATACGACGTGCGGGAGCAGGGCGACGGGCGCGAGGTGAGGGCTGTAAGGTGTGGGTGGAGGAGGATGGTGGATGGGAATGAAATGGAATGCAGAGGGGTTGGGCATGGCACTGCACTGCCAGCGCGGTTGTGGCTGGCATGGCACTCCACGCTTTCTTCTGCTCTCTCCACACCATCGTTCATCCCTTCCCTCCCCTCCCACACCAATCCCCTTTCCCCGCCCACACCAACCGCCCCTTCCCCCGCATGTTCCCCACCAGGTGCGCAACCTGGGCGAGCCAGTGGAGCTGGCAGCGCGCTACTTCAGGGAGGGGCGGACGATTCCTGCTCCCTGCATTCCCTTACTCCCCCACTCCCGCACCCCCCATCCCCCCTTCTCCCCCGTCCCACCCCCCTCAGGTGCGCAACCTGGGCATGCCAGTGGATCTGGCGGCGCGCTACTTGAGAGAGGGGGCGGACGAGGCTGGGGTGTGCTGCTCGCAGCCCCTCAACACACTCCTGCCTGCTTGCACCTCCCATCCTCCCACCCCCGCATGCACCCCCTCAGGTGCGCAACCTGGGCAAGCCAGTGGAGCTGGCGGCGCGCTATTTCAAGGAGGGGGCGGACGAGGTGGCATTTCTCAACATCACGGGCTTCAGGGACTTCCCCCTGGGGGACCTGCCCATGCTCGAGGTGACACCTGGTTAGAGGGGAGGGAAACAGCTAGTTATAGCGGAGGGGCCAGCGCACTACTTCAAAGGGGGAGCGGATGAGGTGGCGTTTCTCACCTGCAGCATGGGCAGGTCCCTCCCCGGCTTCAGAGACTTCCACCTTGCCGACCTGCCCATGGTCGAGGTCGAGGTGAGAGAAGGGGGGGGTAGTTGTTGTGTGCATGCCTGCCACTTGGCTTTGCTGGTAGCCAAAGGGGAGGGGGAAAAATCTGCCCATGCGGGTGTGTTACTTCAGGGAGGGGGCGGGCGAGGTGGCGTTTCTCAACATCACGGGCTTCAGGTTCCCTCTCGTCTCGGCGACCTGCCCATGCTCGAGGTGACTGCTAGGGGGGTGGGAACGTTCCCATGCCTGAGGTTACTACTGTTAGTGGGCGACGATAGTAGCTCTGTGGTTGGGGGGAAATCTGCCCAGCCCATGCTCGGTCCCTCACTTCTCCCCTCCTCTCCCTATAACACGTTTCCGTTCCCCTCGTCCTCGTCACCCATTCTCCCCCTTCTCCCCCCCACGCTCCCCTCATGCTCCTTCCGAACCCCCCCCAGGTGATGAAGCGAGCGTCAGAGAGGGTGTTTGTGCCGCTCACAGTGGGGGACCGCATTCGATTCACGTCCTCCCCTTTCCCATGTTCTCCCCATCCTTCATCTCCCCCACCTCCCCCTCCTCATTCTCCACAGGTGATGAAGCGCGCATCAGAGAGGGTGTTTGTGCCGCTCACAGTGGGGGGCGGCATCAGGGACTTCACCGACGGCAATGGCAGGTGGGTGGGCGGAGGGGGTTGGTGGCCCAATGGTATGGTGGTGTTGCTGATGGCAGGAGGTGGGCGGTGGGGCACGCGTGGTGGTGGTGTTGCTGGTGGGAGGGGGTTTCAATGTGAGTTCAGAGAGGGTGTTTGTGCCGCTCACAGTGGGAGGAGGCATCAGTGTCTTCACTGACGCCAATGGCAGGTGGGCGGGGTGGGGGACATGTGGGGCCATGGGGTGGGGTGGGGGACATGTGGGGCCATGGGGTGGGGTGGGGGACATGTGGGGCCATGGGGTGGGGTGGGGGACATGTGGGGCCATGGGGTGGGGTGGGGGACATGTGGGGCCATGGGGTGGGGTGGGGGACATGTGGGGCCATGGGGTGGGGTGGGGGACATGTGGGGCCATGGGGTGGGGTGGGGGACATGTGGGGCCATGGGGTGGGGTGGGGGACATGTGGGGCCATGGGGTGGGGTGGGGGACATGTGGGGCCATGGGGTGGGGTGGGGGACATGTGGGGCCATGGGGTGGGGTGGGGGACATGTGGGGCCATGGGGTGGGGTGGGGGACATGTGGGGCCATGGGGTGGGGTGGGGGACATGTGGGGCCATGGGGTGGGGTGGGGGACATGTGGGGCCATGGGGTGGGGTGGGGGACATGTGGGGCCATGGGGTGGGGTGGGGGACATGTGGGGCCATGGGGTGGGGTGGGGGACATGTGGGGCCATGGGGTGGGGTGGGGTGGGGTGGGGGACATGTGGGGCCATGGGGTGGGGTGGGGTGGGGTGGGGTGGGGTGGGGTGGGGTGGGGTGGGGTGGGGTGGGGTGGGGTGGGGTGGGGTGGGGTGGGGTGGGGTGGGGGACATGTGGGGCCATGGGGTGGGGTGGGGTGGGGTGGGGTGGGGTGGGGTGGGGTGGGGTGGGGTGGGGTGGGGTGGGGTGGGGTGGGGTGGGGTGGGGGACATGTGGGGCCATGGGGTGGGGTGGGGTGGGGTGGGGTGGGGGACATGTGGGGCCATGGGGTGGGGTGGGGTGGGGTGGGGTAGGGTGGGGTGGGGTGGGGTGGGGTGGGGTGGGGTGGGGTGGGGTGGGGTGGGGTGGGTGGGTGGGGTGGGGGACATGTGGGGCCATGGGGTGGGGTGGGGTGGGGTGGGGTGGGGTGGGGTGGGGGACATGTGGGGCCATGGGGTGGGGTGGGGTGGGGTGGGGTGGGGGACATGTGGGGCCATGGGGTGGGGTGGGGTGGGGTGGGGTGGGGTGGGGTGGGGTGGGGTGGGGTGGGGGACATGTGGGGCCATGGGGTGGGGTGGGGTGGGGTGGGGTGGGGTGGGGTGGGGTGGGGTGGGGTGGGGTGGGGTGGGGTGGGGTGGGGTGGGGTGGGGTGGGGTGGGGTGGGGGACATGTGGGGCCATGGGGTGGGGTGGGGTGGGGTGGGGTGGGGTGGGGTGGGGTGGGGGACATGTGGGGCCATGGGTGGGGTGGGGTGGGGTGGGGTGGGGTGGGGTGGGGTGGGGTGGGGTGGGGTGGGGTGGGGTGGGGTGGGGTGGGGTGGGGTGGGGTGGGGTGGGGTGGGGTGGGGTGGGGTGGGGTGGGGTGGGGTGGGGTGGGGTGGGGGACATGTGGGGCCATGGGGTGGGGTGGGGTGGGGTGGGGTGGGGTGGGGTGGGGTGGGGGACATGTGGGGCCATGGGGTGGGGTGGGGTGGGGTGGGGTGGGGTGGGGTGGGGGACATGTGGGGCCATGGGGTGGGGTGGGGTGGGGTGGGGTGGGGTGGGGTGGGGTGGGGTGGGGTGGGGTGGGGGACATGTGGGGCCATGGGGTGGGGTGGGGTGGGGTGGGGTGGGGTGGGGTGGGGTGGGGGACATGTGGGGCCATGGGGTGGGGTGGGGTGGGGTGGGGTGGGGGACATGTGGGGCCATGGGGTGGGGTGGGGTGGGGTGGGGTGGGGTGGGGTGGGGTGGGGTGGGGTGGGGTGGGGTGGGGTGGGGGACATGTGGGTGTTCCCAGTGTGGCTCAAACAAGATGTCGATTGCATGCGCTATACCGCATTGGCGGTAACAACGGAGTCTTTCCACTCACGTGCAGACAAGGTGCCCATCACATCACACTACCTTCTCACACTCCTTGCCGCCCTCTCGCCCCCCGTTTTCCCCTTCCCTTTCCCCCCGCCCACCCTCACCACTCCACCCCAGGCCCTACTCAGCACTGGAGGTACCAGCAGAGCACTTCTGATAGGGCACGGCACGGACAAGGTGTCCATTTCACCCCTGCCACCCCCTTCCCGACCCGCCCCTCCCCCCACCTCCCCCTCACCCCGCCCCTCCTCTCCTCCCCATCATCCTCCTCGATCCCAACAGTGAGGCGGTGTTTGCACACTCCCATCCTCCCACTCCGTCCTCCTCTCCCCCCAACTCGTCTTCCCACCAGGCCCTACTCAGCACTGCAGGTGGCAGCGGAGTACTTTCGGTCGGGCGCAGACAAGGTGTCGATTGGCAGTGAGGCAGTGTTCGCTGCAGAGGAGCTGCTCGCTACCGGGGTGAGTGAGTCACTCGTGCTTGCTCCTTGTTCCCCATAAAAGTGCTCTTGGTAGCTTAGCTGCCCGTGTACCTGTGTGTGGGCGAGGGTGAGCGGGGGTTGCCAGCATCACATGGGGCCGGGCCGACAGGGTGTCGATGGGCAGTGAGGCGGTGCTGGCTGCAGAGGAGCTGGTCGCCACTGGGGTGAGTCACTGCTTCTGGGATGAGGGTGAACAGGAGAGTCAGCAGCATGTGGGGGACGAGGGTGAGTGGGAGTTGACCAGCATGGGGCCAGGCCGACAGGGTGTCGATGGGCAGTGAGGCGGTGCTGGCTGCCTGCACAGGAGCTGGTCGCCACTGGTGAGTCACTCGTGCTGCCCTCCGTTGGCCGGGGGCAACTCATGCATGGGATGGGAGTAGCATGGGAGGGGGTGAGTGGGGGCTTCAGCAACACGTGGCGCCGACAAGGTGTCGATGGGCAGTGAGGCGGTGCTGGCAGCACAGGAGCTGCTCGCCACGGGGGTGAGTCACTCGTGCCGCCCTCCCTGCTTGTTACCGGGGCGACTGCTGCCCTCCTTGCTTGCTCGCCAGGGGGGGTGCGTGAGTGGTGCGTCACTGCTGCTCCTTGCCTGCTTGCTGGCTGTCTCCGTACCTTCCCCCCCTGCATGCCTGCCTCCCAGCCTTCCATCCACCCCTGGCCAACCCTGTGTGCATTCCTCTCACTGTGTGCATTGCGGCGAGTGCAGGAGAAGACAGGCAAGACCGGGATAGAGCAGATCTCCTACGTGTACGGCAACCAGGTGAGGGCTGTGAAGCAACCAGGTGAGGACCGTGAGGCAACCAGGTGAGGACCCTGAGGCAACCAGGTGAGGACCCTGAGGCAACCAGGTGAGGACCCTGAGGCAACCAGGTGAGGACCCTGAGGCAACCAGGTGAGGACCCTGAGGCAACCAGGTGAGGACCCTGAGGCAACCAGGTGAGGACCCTGAGGCAACCAGGTGACGCCACAATGTCTATCAATCCAGATGCATGGTCTGAAATTATCTGTAGGTCAAAGTCAATCTGCATAGCCCATTTCCATCACTTGCCCTTATCGTGAAGGATTGCTCCCCCTTTTTCTTCCCCACTGCACTCATGCTTATCTCCTCCCTCTTCCCCCCTCTCTCTCCCCTCACCTGGGTGCCATGTCTTCTCTTGGCCTCTTTGCCTCTCTGCCTCTCTGTCTTCTGTCCCAACAGGCGGTGGTGGTGAGCATAGATCCCAAGAGGGTGTATGTGACCTCGCCACACGTCGTGCCTTCTGAGTTGCTTACTCTCCCCCTCTCTGCCTCTCTGCCTCTCTGCCATCCCAACAGGCGGTGGTGGTGAGCATAGACCCCAAGAGGGTGTACGTGACCTCGCCAGACGACGTGCCTTTCAAATGCGTCAAGGCCTCCACGCCAGGTGCCTCATTGCTCTATGCTCTCTCTTCTCTCTCATCTCTCATACACGCTCTCTCCCAAGAGGGTGTATGTGACCTCGCCACACGACGTGCCTTTCAAATGCGTCAAGGCATCAACGCCAGGTGCACTGCATGCCCGCTCTGCTCCCTCTGCTCCTTCTTTGCTGAAAGTCTTTGGTTAAAACGGGCTGGCTGAAATGCATGTGTTTTATCATCTGAGGCCCACATCCCACTTCTTCTCATAGAATATCTCATCTCTCTTATGCTGACCTTGCCACTCAACCTTCCTCCTCCTGTGGCTTATGCCTTGTGGCCTCCTGTCTTTCCCCTGATGCAGGCCCCAACGGGGAGGAGTACGCATGGTACCAGTGCACGGTGAGAGGGGAGGAGTGATGCTGTCACGTGTGTGCGTGTGTGTGTGTGTGTGTGTGTGTGTGTGTGTGTGCGTGTGTGTGTGTGTGTGTGTGTGTGTGTGTGTGTGCACGCGCGCGCGTGCACGCACACTCGAGCAGGTGCACACGTGCGTGTGCGTCTGTAAGCTTGTGCTGGTGCTATGCATTGTCTGTGTGGGTGCATGTATAACAAGGGCGCGCATGTGATAGTCATGTGACTGTAGGACAGAGTGATTCTAACCATGCTGTCTTCCCCTCTGCCCATTGTAACCTATGCTGCTGCAGGTGAGCGGTGGCAGGGAGGGGCGGCCCATAGGGGCGTTTGAGCTGGCTCAGGCAGTGCAGCAGCTGGGGGCGGGGGAAATCCTGCTCAACTGCATTGACTGTGATGGTGAGTGCGATGAGATGATGGGACTGCTGGCAGACATACCCATACTGAGGAGGGCTAGGTAGGTAGGGTGTTGATGTGGCTGGCGCAGGCTGTGGAGCAGCTGGGAGCGGGGGAGATTCTTCTCAACTGCATCGACTGCGATGGTGAGATTGTGATACCAGTGGCAGGTTGCCCTGGTTGGTTTTGAGACGTCTCAACACCAACCTTCATTCCAGCTGGCTCAGGCAGTGGAGCAGCTGGGGTCGAGCGAAGGAGATTCTCCTCAACTGCATTGACTGCGATGGTGAGTGCGATGGGATGAGGCGTGACAGACATACCCATAGTGATGAGGGCTAGGTAGGTAGGGTGTTAATGTGGCTGGCGCAGGCCGTGCAGCAGCTGGGAGCGGGGGAGATTCTCCTCAACTGCATTGACTGCGATGGTGAGTGCGATGATGGTAACGACACTGGTGGCAGACCGCTGTTTGTTGGGCAGACATAGCGATAGTAAGGCATAGGGTGTTGATGTGTCTGGCCCAGGCAGTGGCTTTGATCTGCACCTGGTGGGGCTGGTGTCCTCAGCTGTGGGCATCCCTGTCATCGCCTGCAGCTGGGCTTGAACTCATTCCCTCCATGTAATCCCTTCTCAGCCCCTCCCCCCTTCTCTTCCCCCTCTCCCTCTGCAGGCCATGCCCAGGGATTCGACTTGAGCCTGGTGGGGCTGCTGTCCTCAGCAGTGCGCATCCCTGTCATCGCCAGCAGCGGGGGGAGAGCTTACTTTCCCCATGTGATTCTGCTCCCTCTCCTGTCCCCTTCTCATGGCAGGTCAGGGCCAGGGCTTTGACCTGGACCTGGTGGGGCTGGTGTCTTCCGCAGTGAGCATCCCCGTCATCGCCAGCAGCGGGGCGGGCATCCCAGAGCACTTCTCCCAGGTCTTTGCCAACACCGGCGCCTCCGCTGCGCTGGCTGCCGGCATCTTCCACCGCAACGAGGTGAGGGGATTCAAGGGAGCTCAGCTGATGCCATGCCAGCAGGGTCAACCGGAGGAAGGGGGTTAATTTGACGGTGTCAACTGAAAGGGCACTGTGTAGGTGTGTCAGCACTAGCACTGTCAAGGCGCCTCTGCTGCTGTGGCTGCTGGCGTCTTCCACTGCAACGAGGTGAGGGTCTCGTGGAGTGCTGCATTTTTCTTGGAGTGCGATGGGTGTGCTCTTGATTCTCTGCCCATGCGCCCAACCGGCTTTCAATATGTGTGTGTGTGTGTGTATGCGTCCTCGAGTTTGTGTGCATGCTTGCACGTGCCCGTCCGTGGGGCTGTCCATTTGTGTGCACGTGTGTCTGTGTGCCCATTTGTCTGTGTCTCTGCATGTGCACGTGTGCCCGTGTGTCTGTGTGCCGATTTGTCTGTGTCTCTGCATGTGCACGTGTGTCTCCCACAGGTGACAATAGAGGCGGTGAAGACCCATCTGGCAGAGGAAGGCGTGGAGACTCGCCTGCTGTGAGCCGCACAGAATCAAGCGGCGCAGCACAGATAGCAGAGGTGTGAGGCGGATAACAGTGCCACAGTGCAGGGGGCAGTGGCGCAGGGAGGATACCATGTTGGTGCAGTGTGAATGGCGTGCAGCTCGAGGGGAGGCTGCTTGGTCGTGAGCTTGGGAGATGTTTGAGAAGCGGAGCAGAGTAGCTGATGGAATGCGGGTGGAAGCCCAAGTGACACTTGTTATTCTTCGTCTATTGATGACCTTCTATAGACGGTACTCTCACATGTTCGCCCATGTACTATGCAACTAGCTAGCCTTAAGGAACAGCGACTCACTCATGTTCGTCCTGCTGTAGCTAAGCATTGCACTGCTCACAGCCTTCCCGGTTACTGCTAGGAGACTACCGCATCAAATCAACACCTAGGTGGTACCAAATCAACACCTAGGTGGTACCAAATCAACACCTAGGTGGTACCAAATCAACACCTAGGTGGTACCAAATCAACACCTAGGTGGTACCAAATCAACACCTAGGTGGTACCAAATCAACACCTAGGTGGTACCAAATCAACACCTAGGTGGTACCAAATCAACACCTAGGTGGTACCAAATCAACACCTAGGTGGTACCAAATGCACTAAAGGCAGCATGGTTCCATCCCATCCCATCAAACAGCAGAGGCACACCAACGGTTTCCAGCACAGGCAAGGCCAGGCATGCAGCTCATGAGGCAGCTGCCTGCTGCTGCTCCCCCGCCCTGCTGCTGCATGGCTGCCCTCACCTTGGCCTGCAGCACCATCGTCACCTCCTCCTGTAGCTGCCTCTTAGCATGCGCCACCTGCCATTGGTGGTGTGGGGTGGACACAAAATTAGATTCATAACGTAACTTGTTTCCCAAGTAATCTCACACGCGCCTCGTTTAACACCGAGTCGCACACGCAACCGAACCGAATCAACCGAACACTCCTCGAGTCCGAATCCAGCACCTTCTCGAACACGCCTCAGTCTCGAACTACAATTTCCCCCGTCAATCCCATTCTCTACAGTTCTCCTTCTCTCTTCCTCCTAGCACATTTCTTCTCGATTTCTCTCCCGCTTCACATGTCGTAGCTTCTAGTCTTCTTCCCACCGCTTCACACTAGAATATCCCACGCGCTTCCATTCCGCCGTCATTCCGCATTTCGCCGTAGGTTCCGTGGCTTGGCGAACCATCCCTAACACCTATCTCCACCCGCCCTCCTCTCCGCTCCTCGCCTCCCCCTTACCCGCACTCTCCTGCTGCCCTCCTCGCGTGCTCTGCGCTCGTCACTTGCGCCCACTGCCGCGCGCGCTACCGCCCGTTCACGTTCCGCCTCCACCCGCCCGTCTACTCTGCCCCGCCCCGCGCTCCTTCCCCGCTGCATGCGCGCTCCCCTTGTTCCTCCCCGCCAGCGCGCAATGAAGCCGCGGGCCGGCGTGCGGTTGGAGCGGTTGGAGCGGGTGGAGGCGGGGCCGGCGGAGGAGGCGGAGGGGGAGGGCACGGAGGCGAGTCCGCGGCTGCCCAAGGCGGACAGCCACAGCCGCGCGCCGCACGAGGCCGTCGCGCGCATCCTCGAGGACGACCCGCTGGAGGGGGGCGGGGTGGATGGGGGGAACGCGGAGGGGGGAGCGGGGGCCGGGGGGAGCGCGGAAAGGGGAGGCGCAGGGGGCGGTGCGGTGGGCGAGATGGCGTGGAGCGGATTGGGGCAGGGGCAGGGGCAGAGCAGCAGAAGCAAGTTTGAGGCGGTGGGGTGGCAGGAGTACTTTGAGGAGGAGGAGTCCGTGACCGTGGCCAATGGCGATGTGAGTCACCACTGACCACGCATGACAGCGCTGCCGTCTTGTTGCTTTCCACTCGCTGCCCGACTCTCCTCTGCCCACCCCTCTGCCCGTTCCTCCTCTGCCCACCCCTCTGCCCGTTCCTCCTCTGCCCACCCCTCTGCCCGTTCCTCCTCTGCCAGTACCTTCTGCGTTTTCGCCTGCTCACGCATCCCTCGCCCGCCTCACTCCTGCTGTCCACTCCCTCCCCCCCACCCCCCCTTTGCCCACGGGGCCAGGTGTTCCACGTGTACAGGGCGGGGCGCACAGGGCCCGTGCTGCTGTGCCTGCATGGGGGCGGCTATGCCGGGTGGGTGCACCCACGCCTCAACCGCCCCTTTCCCCGTCACAACCACACTCCTGCCTCGTTACAAGCATATCCAGTCCTTTGCACAAGCACGTGCTTGAGCACCGTTTCCTGCATTCAATGCACCACCCGTGCTTGCACAGCGCACCACACCCCTCCATCTCACCCCTCCATGCCCGCCGCTGTCGGCGCGCTGTGCTGCTTGTACGCGGTGGCAGGGCATCGTTCGCGGTGGCGGCGGGGCACATGAGGGGCGAGGTGCAGGTGGTGGCCGTGGACATGCGCGGCCACGGCGCCACGCGCACAGCCAACGACCTTGATCTCTCCGCCCAGGTGCCTCTCTCTCCGCCCAGGTGCCTCTCTCTCCGCCCAGGTGCCTCTCTCTCCGCCCAGGTGCCTCTCTCTCCGCCCAGGTGCCTCTCTCTCCGCCCAGGTGCCTCTCTCTCCGCCCAGGTGCCTCTCTCTCCGCCTAGGTGCCTCCCCGTTCAGGCATCATGGTCACTTGCATGTCGCTGCCAGCCATTGTGCTTTGCTCTCTGCTCAATGCACTGCTCTCTGCACTCCCTCTGTGCTGCACTGTGCACTGTGCTCTGTTCTCTGTGCTCTGTGCTCTGTTCTCTCTGCTCTCTGCTCTCCGCTCTCTGCTCTCTGCTCTCCGCTCTCCGCTCTCTGCTATGTGCTCTGTTCTCTGTTCTCTGTGCTCTGTGCCTGTTGCATCGGTGTGTGCGTGCGTGCGTGCATGTGCGTGTGTGCATGTGCGTGCGTGCATGTGCGTGCGTGCGTGCATGGCCCCACCATGCCACGGCAGACGCTGGTGGAGGATGTGGCGGGCGTGGCAAGGAAGCTCTTTGGTGACTCACCTCCCGCCATCGTGCTGCTGGGTCACAGGTGAGAGGGCAGGCATGGTGCTGCTGGGTCACAGGTGAGAGGGCAGGCATGGTGCTGCTGGGTCACAGGTGAGCGTGAGAGGGTAGGCACCCCTAATTCTTCCACTCCTCCTTCCCCCATTTTTTCATCTGCTCTGCTCCGTGTCCCCCTCCCCCTCCCTTCCGTGTCTGGGTGGGGTATGCTCATGGCTCATGGCACATGGCGAACGGCGCATGGCGCATGGCGCATGGCGCATGGCAGCATGGGGGGGGCGGTGGCGGTGCGGGTGGCGGAGCAGCAGCTGCTGCCGTCGCTGGCAGGCCTCGTGGTCGTCGACGTCGTCGAGGTGCCTCCCGCCTCCCTGCCGCCTCCCTGCCGCCTCCCTGCCCTCCCTGCTGCCTCCCTGCCGCCTCCCTGCCGCCTCCCTGCCGCCTCCCTGCCGCCTCCCTGCCGCCTCCCTGCCGCCTCCCTGCCGCCTCCCTGCCCTCCCTGCTGCCTCCCTGCCGCCTCCCTGCCGCCTCCCTGCCGCCTCCCTGCCGCCTCCCTGCCGCCTCCCTGCCGCCTCCCTGCCGCCTCCCTGCCGCCTCCCTGCCGCCTCCCTGCCGCCTCCCTGCCCTCCCTGCTGCCTCCCTGCCGCCTCCCTGCCGCTTCCCTTCCGCCTCCCTGTAACCTCCCTGCTGCCTCCCTGCCGCCTTCGTGCCGCCTCCCTGCCTAACACTGCCCCACTGCCCCACTGCATCACTGTCTCCCTGCCCCCCTGCCTCCCTGCTTCACTGCCTCACTGTCTCACACTGCCTCATGGGCTCGTCGATTCATGATGTCACAGGCGTACAGGCCCATGGGCTCACGGGCTTGCGCTTCACCATGCTGCTTGATGCCAGTTTGTCCAGTCAGTGGGCGTGTGCCCCTTCACCACCCTCTACCCCCTTCCTCTACCACCTCTTGCTCTTCCGCCCCCTTGTCCTGCGCCCGCTCTGCATGGTACACGGCAGGGCAGCGCAGTGGCATCGCTGGGCCACATGCAGGCAGTGCTGGCGTCACGCCCCTCACACTTCCCATCGCTACACAAAGCCGTGAGCACCATGCAGTGCATGCGCTTTTGAACACCACATGCGCTCTTCCCTGTATTCGTGCCTTCCTCTGTGCTGTGTTATGGAAGAACCCCCCCCCCTCCGAAGTCCCTCCTCTCCCTCTCGCACTCCCTTCTCTGCCTCTATCCCTTTCTGTACCTTGCCTATCCTTCCTACCGTCTTACATCCACCACATGCCTCGTCCTCCTTGGCATGTCACGCCCGCTCTGTGTTGCGACGGCAGGTGGAGTGGAGTGTGCGGTCGGGGCATCTGAGGAGCGTTGAGTCCGCGCGTGTCTCGGTGCCACCCACCCTCGTGCCAGACGCCACAGGGAAGGGGTGAGCAGTGAACAGACAGGAAGGGTCGAGAAGCACACAGAAGGGGAAAGGCAGAGGCGTGAGGAAGCATGGGTGCGATATAGGGAGGCATGAGGGGTAGGGGAGCATGGGTGAGGCATGGTGAGGCACGGTAAGTTGCATTCTAGACCGTTCTCGACCCCTTGAATGCCTCTGTTCTGTTCTATTGTCCCTTCTCCTCCCTCTCTTCCATTCCCACTCTCTCATCCGTTCCCCAATCTCTCGTCCACTCCCACTCTCACTCACTCCCTCTCTCACACCCTTTCCTCCACCTGCAGGTTTGTGTGGCGTACTCCCCTGGAGAAGTCTCAGCCCTACTGGAAGGGATGGTGCGTGCATGCATGCACACACACACGTGCACACACGTTCGTGCACACGCACGCGCACACATGGATGCACGTTGTTTGCTTCGTGCTGCTTGCTGGGCATGCATTGCGCACTGCTCGCAATGTGGGATGCTTGGGATGGGCACAATTTGCTAAAGCCATTTCTTGGCAAGGGATTGGTTGGTGAGTGCTGGTTCCAACGAGAAAGCGGAGTGCGGCATGGTTGGATTGGCTGACATCTTTCATCTGCCCTTCTTG